AGGGAGCTTAATATTTATTGAGCCACTCCTACGACAGTGTTCCTGAGGCACACACCCAATTCCATCAATCACTAATAATTCTATATTGCTTTTCTCTTTCCTTTATGTCATTTGCATGGTTTATTTAGTAATGTCCTTTTTGTATAGACACAAGAAGACAGTTGATGTTACACTATGTAACATGGGAGTTTATTGACTCCAAAATAATATTTTACTCCTGGGCATCCATATTTACTTACTTAAGTCTCAGTTGCTCTTAGTTCCTAGCAGTCTAAGAGCAGGGCCCCGACAAGGGACTGGATAGACCCAGGGCAAACTGTGAGCTACCTTGGCATCAAAATGAGCCAGGCCAAGGGCCATAATACTTAACTATAAGTTAAGAGCACGGTCATGAACAAACTGTCATGACCCAAAAAGAAGTATCTGAATAAGGACCCTGCTGGGGTCAGGAAATACTAGCCTGACCTAAGGACTGTGGTCTGGAATATATAGTGAGATGTCCCCCAAAAGAGCCAAACTTTAAGCTTAATATATCTCTTACTATGCTCATACAAAATGACATTGCTAGAAATATTATAAGAGGTAAATTTACTATGATTGTTTAAAAGGATTACTAGCAGAGGAAAGGAGAAAGAAATACACCCTGGATGAATCTCCTAGTAATCTGGAATGCTCAATCGCCAGATGGGCTTTTGTCCTTAAATTAATCTCCTGAAGGAGTGACTTTACATCTCTTTGTTGTTATGACAATGTTCAACCCCACCTTTGTATCCCCACCCTTCATGATTTCTATATAACTATGCTGTAAGGGGTATAGGGGAATTAGATATTGAAGACATTGGGGATTGGATGTTGGGAACAAGAGTCAGGACGAGATGTTGGGGACTAGATGCTGAAGATAAGACATTGGGACTAGTTGCTGAGAACAAGAAGGACAATGACTAGATGTTGAAAACTAGAGGAGAACTGAGACTTGGGACTTTGAGGTCTGCGAGGACTAGAAGGTGAACCAGATGATGACAATGACTGGAAGTAGAGGACTATGAGACTACGTCGAGACAAGGAAGAAGATATAACGAAGGAGAGGACATTGAGGTCTATGAGGAGACTAGGATGATGAAACTTCTTTGATGACTGGGACCAAAACGATGACTATGACTGAGCCGTGAAGGGAGAGATCAGACTACTCTGGGGAGGAGAGAGAAATAAATGGATTACTGATCAGCCCTGGACCCGATTCCTGTTCCTCCATCCCCTGGTCCTTCATCTGTTATCTGCCTCCGCTGCCGCCACCATCGTCCTGCCAGGGAGGCGGCTCTCGGCCACCTAACCGCAGGCCGGCCCACTCACCCTTTCTTCTTTGGAAACTTATAAAGCAGATCCCAGAGAACAAATAAAGTAAAACCGAAAATAATGGAAGAAGATCTTCCACAGCCACAGTCAGGTCTGCCTGAGGTGGGCTTCCAGAAATAGTGGGCACAAGCCCCCCTGGGTTGGAAACAAGTATTTTCTCCTCAGAGTGCTCTAAATTTGTTAACTTCAATATCAAAGTCCATCAAAGTTTTTCCTGACCCAAACAGAAAGTCAGTTTTCAAAAGCCTCCCCCTCAGTGGCACAAGTTATTTATTGAACCACTCTCAAACCGGTTCAGACAAACCTGAGGCTGCCACTTGGGGGGCACAGACAGAGCCGCGAGGACAGGGAAACAGAACAACTCCCCAGGGGCAGATAGAGCCCTGAGCACTGTCACACCACATGTGCCAAGAGACGCAGGGAATCCAGTGCCCTCGGGGACTCTCTGTCCTTTTGCAGTTGCCCTGTCCACGTATTTCTGGCTTCAGATGGCACCTGTCCAAGTCTTACCTGCACAGTCTCATTCCACCTGAGTCTCTGTACCTGGTCTTCAACTTCCTCATCCAAGACCCCAGCTCCTGCTGAAGCTCAGTGTTGACCAAGTTTTCCTCAGCCCTTCTGTTCCACCTCTCCTGGCCCATCTTCCTCCTGAAACTTGCTGTCATTCACAGTTCCACTTCCTGCAGGTGTGACTCAGATGCTCCTCCATCATGGACAGCCACCAAAGGGAGCACCACAACGAGTCCCCAAAACCACTCACCCTGGGATTCCAGTTGTGCTGGGGGTTTCCTGCACCCCATGGCGCACCTGTCAGTGACCCTTGTCATTGTCCTAGGAGGCTCACACAAATACCCCACACCACTCTCAACCTTCTCAGGGTGGGAGGGAGGGTTCACAGAGCCCATGGCCTGCCCAGTGTCTCATGGCCTGAACACAAGCCTGGCTGGCTCCTCTTGACTTGTGCGTGCTTTATTGGGATGGCTTTTGTGGTCACGGCCACGAGACTGGTCAGTTCTCTGGAGAGTTCCAGGGATGTAGCCAAAAGTACCACCTCATGAGTCCCACCTGTGTCAGGTCACAGAGAAGGGGGAGATCTCTGAAAAGTTAGTTGGGGGGCTTGGGGGGTGCAGCCCTGCTGGTAGGTGCAGGGGTGTGGAAGGTGTGATTGTGGGATGTAAACCCCCCTATGACCCTGGACCTCTATCAAGGACTTTCTTTTTTTGGGGGGAGGGGTCACACCCGGCATTGCTTGGGGGTTACCCCCTGCTCTGCACTCAGGAGATTACTCCTATAAGTGCTCGGGAATCACATGGGAGGCCGAGGATCGAAGCCAAGTTGACTGTGTGCAAGGCAAACACCCACCTCGTTTTCCTCAGCCCTGTCACTGTCACTGTCACTGTCCTCCCGTTGTTCATCGATTTGCTTGAGCGGGCCCAATAACGTCTCTGTTGTGACACTTGTTACTGTGTTTGGCATATTGAATACGTCACGGGTAGCTTGCCAGGCTTTGCCGTGCAGGCGAGATACTCTCGGTAGCTTGGTGGGCTCTCCGAGAGGGGTGGAGGAATCGAACTCAGGTCGGCCATGTTGGTTGCGTGCAAAGCAAACCCCTACCAGCTATGCTATTGCTCCAGCCCACTCTGGCCCCTATCAAGGATTTTGAACTTGGGGTCTCTGTTCTCTCTCAGTCTTCATGTAGCCTTTGTTCCTATGGCCTTATCTCCAGATCAGCCTTTGGGTGTGGTTGTTTCTTCATCCTGGAGCCTCAGACGGACTAGAACCTTAGGCTGCTCTTAAATTGTAGCCTCAGGCTGGTGTTATGTCCAGCCACAGACTGGTGGCAGCATACTTTTCAGAAACTATCAGGGTTTCCAGAAATTCATTGTCAAGGACTCCCCTCCCCTCCGCCTACTTCAAATACATCCCTTTTCTCCAGCCTCAGTGTCTGCGTCCTAGTTCGGGCCTCCCACAACCACCTTTCAACCAATCTCTCAGGGTTCCCAATCACCACCAAGCACCTGGAGTGCTTCCTGCTAGGCCAGCCTGGTCTGATTCTGAGTCGACTTGCCTGCACCCCCACCCTCGTTGCAAGTCAGGCCCACTCAGGGAAGAAGAGCTCTATTGGGAACTGCGGGTGCCCTAGTTACTGGGAGGAGACACCCTGGTTGCCTAGAGCTCCCCAAGTAGTAATTCTTGAGTGCAGAGCCAGGAGTAACCACTGAGCACCACCAGGTGTGGTCCAAAAACCAACAATGACAATAGTAAAGAAAAAAAGTATCAGAAGCAAAGGTATAGTCTCACCCTGTGGCAGCACCCTGCACCCCCACCCCGGGGCTTCTCTGAACCCCTGTTGCTACCAAGGGCTCTTTTCCTGGGAAGAAGAGAGGAGAGGATCAGACAACCTGGAGGTGGGGTGGCTGGCTGTCCTTCCAGAAAGGCCAGAGGGCCATTGTCCTCTGTACCCTATGGCTATCAGAGGACTGGAGTGTCTGGGGAAGGCTATGTGCCCAGGAAGGAGAGTCAGAGCCCATAGATGTTGCCCAGAACCCCTCAGGGACTCCCTGGCATAGCTTAAGAAAGCAAGAGCCAGCTGCCTGGGCAGAGGGCAGGAGACATTTGTCTTGCCATCCACCTTCTCACAAGGTGGTGTGTGGCACTGTTTCAATGGCTGAAGCAGTGTGGCTCGCTGGGGGACCCAGCTCTGCCACTGACTGTGGCTCAGGAGGAGGAACTGGCTCCAAGCAGTTCCAGGCTGTGGAACCACCGATCAGCAGAGCGTTGTAAAATGCAGAGAGTGTGCTGGCCTGGGGGAGGAAGACTGTGGGTGAATGTGATTCAGGTTTCCCATCCTTTTTTTTTTTTTTTGGTTTTTGGGCCATACCTGGAGATGTCTAAGAGTTATCCCTGACTCTGCACTCAGGAATCACTCCTAAATCGGTTTTGGGGAGACTTATATGCGATGCCAGGGATCAAATCAAGCATCCTACCCTGGTATACTATCTCTCTGACCCCTCTCAGTCTCTTCTCCACCACTCTGTCAGCACTAGCTGAGGGCAGAAGGCAAGGAACCCCCTGGGCACCACATGAAAAGTTCTGAGTTTTCAGAGGACCCTGATGGGGGACACAGATTCGCTAGGTCAGAGACAGGATGTGCTTTCTAGTGGGGAGGGAGCGATAGTACAGAAGGTAGGGCCGACCTGGGTTCCCATCTCCTGCATCATCCCATACGGCCCCGGAGCACCGCCAGGAGTAATTCCAGAGCTCAGAGCAAAAACCCTGAACAGGGATGTGACCTTCTCCCCTCACAAAAAAAAAAATCAAGAAAAGAATAGGATCTGCTTTGCTGCTTCTCCAGTCCGTACTCAGGAAATACTCCCATCTGCGCGAGCACTGCAGCCAAGACTCAAGAGAGGGCCCCCAAGTAGGGAGACAGCGACTGAGCGTGGGAGCCGTGGTACCCGGGGAACCTCCAGGGTCGGAAGCTGAGCCCGGATGCGGGATGCTGGCTGGGAGACCAGCACGGGAGAAGGATGGGGCAGGCGGGGGCAGCCGCGGGGCGACGCTCGCGGCCCCCGGCAGGCGGCGCCAGAGAGCAGGAGGGGCGGGGCGGGCCGTGGAGGGCGGGCCCCGGGGCGGGCCCCGGCGTGTCCCCTGGGCGCTGGAGCGGGGCGACCCTCGCGCCGCCGGAGGAGGCGGCCAGCATGGCCGAGCTGGCGGCGCGCCGCTGCTGCCTGGGCTGGGACTTCAGCACGCAGCAGGTACGCCCGCGCGGGCTGCGGCGGGCTGGGCGCGGGGCCGCCGGGCCCAGCGCGGGAACTGCCCGGGGATCCCCCGCACCGCCCCAGCCCTGCAGCGCGCGCAGCCACCTCGGCACCCGGGCGGGGTCCTGCCGGCCGGTCAGCTGCAGCCTGCAGCCGGACGCGGGGACAGACAGCGGGCCGGCAGGCACAGGGGCAATGGCCGGGGACCAGGTCCCCGCTCGGGGCTTTTTTATTTTTATTTTTTTGCCTTTCCTTCATCAGGGGAAATGGGCACAGTGTCCGCATGAACTTTGCCCCGCTCTGGGACACCCTGGCACCAGCGGGGCTGCGAGCAGAGTCTCAGTGGCCTTGAAGACTGGCCCCAAGGAGAGGGTTAAGCTCTGAATGTAGCAGAGTTGCTACCAGCCGCAGCTCCAGGGCCCCCCGCACCCCCCCCTCGCCCTGGGACGTCAGCGGACCCTGCTGGCCGTCGGTTTCCGGCGTGTCCAGGAAAGATGGTCTGGGCGGTTGAGCCTCCCTTGCGGGGGCTCGTGTCCCAGGCTTCTGATTGTGGCATTGGCCTATGGAACTGTCTAGAGACCTTGTCTGGTTTGAGTACTTACTCTTTTCCCCCCTGGAGGCGGGAACGTGGAGGGGGAAGTTGTCCCCAGTGGTGGTTAGGGCTTACTCCTTGCTCTGATTGGGGGCCACCCCTGTAGGATTGGGGGAAACCATCTGGGGTGCTGGGGACTGAGTGCAGGAGCCACTGCCCTGTCTCTCTGCCTCCTGCCTGGTGAGTTTCGAAACATCTCCCAACCCCCCGATTCCTTCCCTTCCTTCTGGAACTTTCTCAGGCCTCATAGCAGGGCTCAGCAATGCACCATGCAGCTTTATTGCCTGGGGTCTTGGTTTTGTTTTGGGTGGCAAAGAGCCCTCAGGGTACCTGGTTTTCAGTGGGGACCTCCCCCAGACAGCCAGGGCTCTGGGGTAAATTCTTCCAGGGTGCCGGGCTTTAGTGGGGCTCTTGGTTTTCCGGACTTCCGAGGACCACGTACACCTTTGTGTTCTAGGTGAAGGTAGTTGCAGTTGACACAGAGCTGAATGTCTTCTACGAGGAGAGCGTGCAGTTTGACAGAGACCTGGGAGAATTTGGGTATGTGCCCAGCACACCTGTGTGTGTGTGTGTGTGTGTGTGTGTGTGTGTGTGTGTGTGTGTAGTATACGTGTACATGTACATGTGTGTGTGTGTGTATATGTCTGGGAGCAAGTGCAGGGTGAAGCTGGAGCCTCCCTCCAATGCTCATCATGTTCATAAACCACTCTTTTTCAGCCTCATCCTGCAGCAGGAATTCCTGGATTGTTTTTTTTTGTTTTGTTTTGATTTGGTTTGGTTTTGGGTTTGGGGCCATACCGGGCAGTGTTCAGGGCTTACTCCTGGCAGTCTTGGGGGACCGTATGGAACATGAGTTTCACATGTAAGGCAAATGCACTACCCATTTGTCCCATGGCTCCAGCCTCTGGGGCTTGATCTCTTGGTCTTGCTCTCGCTGGGTCAGTACCTCACGCCACTGAACCACTTTGCTAGGGATCAGACGGGGGGCTGTCCTGATCACGTCGGGGTGTGTGGCCTCGGGCTTTGTGGTGTGGGACCACACCCAGCAGTGCTCAGGGGCTTCTCTCAGCAGTATCAGGAGATGGGTCTAGTCCTTTTAAGGGGGGAGGGGGGTAAGGCATACCCAGTGATGCTCTGGGGTTACTCCTGGCTTTTTACTCAGGAATCACTCAACATTGCTCAGGGGACCATATGGGATGCCCAGGATAGAACCCAAGTTGGTTCCGTGCAAGGCAAACTCCCTACCCACTGTACTATAGCTTTGGCCCAGCACCAGTCCTTTGATCTATGACTGGGCCCACTCATTGGGCAATGGTGCTCCTGAGTGCTCCGCAGGACCTGTTCTCCTGTTGCGTGGCTCACAAATGTGCTCACCAGGGCCCCCTCCTTTCGGTCATGGCTCGTGGCTTCCAGGATTGCAGATCCGAGCTACCAGGATCCCACTTGGCCCACGTGGACAGCCGGAATTTGAACCCCTGACCAGATACTAATCAGTCTGGCGTTCTCAGCCACTGCACGGTTCCTCTGATCTCATTACTTGTTAGAGTTTTTGTTTGTTTGTTCATTTGTGTTTCGTGCTTTCATGCTGTTGGGGTTTGAACCCAGATGTCATGTGTCCAAGGAATGCACTTTGGGGCTTGGAGAGATAGTACATCAGGCAGGTGCTTGCCTTGCACATCTCTGACCTGGGTTCAGTGTCCGGCACCCCATATGGTCACTGGAGTCTCACCAGATGTGATCCTGAGCACAGAGCCAGGAGTAAGCCCTGAGTACCACCAAATGTGGTCCTAGAACAACAACAACCAGAAAAAAAAAAAGAGGCATGTGCTACTACAGTCCAGAGCTTGATTTTGAGGTCACTCTGGGAGGTCCTGGTTCCAGGCCTGACTCACATCCACTGAGGTAATCATGATCCCGGCGCCTCTGCATACCCACACCTCCTTTCCTTTTATTTTTTACATTATTATTATTATTCTGGCTTTTGTTTGTTTGTTTTTTGGGTCACACCCAGCATTGCTCAGGGGTTACTCCTGGCTCACGCACTCAGGAATTACTCCTGGCGGTACTTGGGGGACCATATGGGAATGCTGGGAATTGAACCCAGGTTGGCAGCGTGCAAAGCAAATGCCCTACACACTGTGCTATCGCTCTAGCCCCCTATTTTGGCTTTTTGGGTCATTCCTGGTGATGCTCAGAATTTACTCCTGGTTCTGCACTCAGGAATTACTCCTGGCAGTGCTGGGGGACCATATGGGATGCATGGGGATCGAACCCAGGTGAACCACGTGCAAGGCAAATGCCCTACCCGCTGTGCTATCACTTTGGCGCCCTCCTTCCCTTTAACCTACCCCATGCACCCGCACCCAGCCCCATTCCTGTTGACTTCTGTGTCCTGTGGTGCCAGGTCTGCCTTCTGTTGGGGAGCCCCCAAGTGCAGAAGACTCGATCTTGTTGCACTCTGAGAGCGTCCCCTTGTGGGTGACCCCCAGGCCAGACCCCCTTGCCCAGCGCGCATGACTGCACAGTTTGACCACTCATGGCTCAGAAATGGGGTGTTCTTCTACTAGGGGGCCCTGGGGCCTGCCGCTGGGGCTCAGGTCCATGTTTTCTTTTACAGGACTCATGGTGGGGTTCATGTTCACAAGGATGGGCTGACAGTCACTTCTCCGGTCCTCATGTGGGTCCAGGTAATTGAGGGGACCCCTGCTTCTGCTCCGACGCACTGGAGGCCCTGGCAGCACATGGGCCTGGGCACAGCCATGCATATGAACTCTCGAGCCGATAAGGCTCCCAGAGGCTTCCAGAGACATTGCTGCTGGCCAGTCCTGCCAGTTACCACAGTCACGAGGGCCCAGGGGTGGCTCTGTGGACTGGGCACAGGCTTTACGTGCAGGAGACCCAAGTTCAACCTCCTGCACCACTGGGTCCCTGAACACCATCAGGAGCCAACCCCTTAGCACTGAAATGGGAATAGCCCCCAGGCATCACTGGATGTGGCCCCCTAACCAACCAAATGTCATGAAATACCCCAGGGTAAGGCCAGGCTTCAGCTCAGGGACATAGCACGTGCTTGGCATGTATGAGGTTCTGGGTTTGATCCTGGCACCAAAATTTCAGTGAAATAGGCTGTTCCTTGCCATGTCTTCCCACAAGACTGTTAGGAGCAAGCCATTTGTGGCCAAGAAACAAAAGCAGAATTGGCCCATTCCTCAGTGGATTTAGATGGAAACTGGTTAATAAGATTCACTTTCCTATAGTTTTGAGCATTTCTTTTGTTGTAAATTGATGGCTTTGAAAGAAGGACATCCGACAGCATGTATTGCCCAACTAATACCGAGGCACAACTCCAAGACAAGTTCTTCTGCTGGGAAGAACCGTGCCAGGTGTGGAAGGACTCAGAAGAGATGCGCATGTGTGCCATGATTGGCGGACCGGGCGTGGAAGGATTCAAACGAGATGCGTGTGTGTGTGCTGTGATTGGCCGGCTGGGTGTGGAAGGACGCCACCGGAATCGCGAGTGTGCTGTGATTGTCCGCTAGCATCTTGCACACACACCAGGCGGAAATACATCACAGGTCTAAAATCACCTCGGTCTGATTAGAGATTCCTTTTGCCTATCTGCTTTCTGTACCCATTTGCCAACTTAGTAATAAACCATTTTTGAGACCCTGAAAAAAAAATTTTTAATGAAATAAAATGTCACCGAGCAAATCCTTTTCCAAAGACTTAGGGCAGGTTACCTCTGTTGCCTGAGATGCAAATCCCGTTTTTGGGGTCTTTATCCTCAAGCTCAGCTCCCTCAGCTCCCAGGGCCCCTGACCAGGCTCAGACCAAAGCCCAGACAGTACTAATAGGTCAATGACCTGGTGCCTGAGCCGGATGACCCCTGGACCCTGGGGCTGCAGGACTAGGAAGCGGGGCTGCATGGACAGACACGAGTGGGTTTGGGGCTGCCTCACATTCCACAGGGCCAGAGACCGGGATCAGCACGACTGTGTCTGTCTCGTCTCTCAGTTCTCTACATTGAAATCTTTCCTTGGTTTTGGCTTTGGGGCTACACCTGACAGTGCCCAGGGGACCCCACAGTCGGACCTCCTGCATGGCGAGCACCTCTTTGGGCCTTGACTTCTTTCTGTTAAGATGACCAGTATAATATCTCTCTCTCTCTCTCTCTCTCTCTCTCTCTCTCTCTCTCTTTTGTTCTTTTCTTTTTCATTATTGGGTCCTACCCACAGCTACTCAGGGCTTTCTCTTGCCTCTGTGCTCAGGGTTCACTCCTAGTAAGGCAAGCGTGCTACCTGCTGAACTGTCTCTCCAGCCCTTGATCTCTTGTTTGATCAGTCTGATCCTGACTCTTACTGAAGGGTTGGGGTACAGGATTTCCACCAGACAGGCTTCAGAGACTGAGCCAGATTCAGAGGCCCAAAAGGGGGAGAAGATTGGGGTGTAGGTAAGAGTGTGTCTAGAGGTCCCAGCCATGATGTCTCTGGTTTCCAATTGGCCAAGGACTTAACCTGGAAGGTGCCGGGCGACTGGCTCCCCCTACCCAGCAGCTCTGGGTGCCCAAATGGCTTCTAGCCTCACCAGCCTGCCCTCTGGGCCCCCACTCGCTCCCTGAGCTCTCGGCAAAGGCTGGTTTGGCAGCTGCAGAGGAGCGAGGATGCAGCTCCACCCACCAGGGACATGCAGCCAGGGGCTGGATCTGACATCCCTGTTGCAAAATTCTAGGGCAAATGTCGGCCCAGCAAAGCCAGACTGTCCCTCCCACGCAGGGGTCTCGCTGGAAGGGAGAGAGAGTCCCAGCGGAGGGTGGGTGGTGGAACAGGGAGTGAGGGGTGAGGAGAGCAATTGGCGATCTTGTCCCCGTCTGCTCCTTGTCCACATGTTCTCCTAGCCCCCATCTCCTTGTCCACATTTTCTCCTGAGCATGTTTCTCTCTACCCTTGCCCTCTTGAACACAGGGAGTCTGGGTGGAGCCCGCCTGGCTTTGTCCTTCATTCCGCTGTGGCAGTAATGTCATCTCACTGACAGCGCAGCCTGAATTGCAGGTGTGTGTGTGTGTGTGTGTGTGTGTGTGTGTGTGTGTGTGTAATAACTTACTGAATCTTTGAAAGGTGTGAGGGGAGGGAAAGAGAGGAAGTGTGTGTTCAAGAGAGAACATGGGCTTCTCCAGAGTGGCACAAGCAAAGACACGTAGAGACCAGCAAGCAAGACTCGTGTTCAAGGGAGAACATGGGCTTGAAGAGTGAGACTGAAAGGCAGATTTTACCTGTAAGCACCTACTCCCCCGACCCCCCTGCCTCCACACCCCAACACCTCCCCCACTACGAACTGCTTCAGCTTTGACTTTCCTCTTCCCGAGTGCCTGGAAGCCAGAGACCTGGGAAGCAAAACATGAGGCCCGCAAGTCTGAGTCCATGCATGAAGGGCTTTGCGTGGTTCACTCTGATTTCACGCCCCTGCCTGGCTGATGAGCGTCTTTTCACACCAGTGCGCCATTGCAGTCCCCTGGGTCTCACTGGAAAGCCCAGCACTTGTGACCCTCTGTTTGGCGTCTTGTGTTCCCTCTTGCCTGGTGGCCATGTGTGGGTTACATGTCCGCCCAACCCTGCAGCCTGTGTGCACTCACCCGGGCTTCACTTCTTTCTCAGGCTCTGGACATCCTCCTGGAGAAGATGAAGGCATCGGGCTTTGACTTCTCCCAGGTCCTCGCCTTGTCCGGGGCAGGCCAGGTGGGTGTGGGCATGCTATGCTTTTGAGGTCTCATCCTGGCTGGTGGGGTGGCTGCAAGGGCCCCCGCTCTCTCTCAAAAGGCTCTGTGGACTTACAGTTGTGTGAACTCTTGAGCCCCTTCCCCAGGGAGGGCAGCTCTCTCAACTCCTAGCAGAAGGCATGCAGTTCTGCTTTACCAGGACCCCAGAGTGCCTGCCATGGGGGAGGAGGGGTGGGCCGGAGGAGCCTTGGCTACGAATATATCACCACCATCCAGGGGCTTTTCTCTTTTCTGGAAGTAAAAGCAAAGTCAGAAACTGCCCCGAGAGAGTGACAGTGGTTTCGGTGGCTGAGCTCGCAGTAAGGCCAAGGAAGACCATTGTTCGAGCACTGGGTCCTGCCCGGGTTTTCACACGTGTGGCCCAGCTCAGACCCCGGGGGGAACCTGTGGAGGATGCTCTGGGTTTGATCTCCGCCTCTGTTTGCAAAGCTGGAGCATGCCCTCCGCAGGCCTCAGCCAGCTCTCTTGGGCCAGTGTGAGTGTTAAATTCACAGAAGAGCCCATCAACATCTTTCTTTGACTTGGTATCACTGACATGGAGAAACTGAGGCACAAAGCCTCCTCTCCTCTTCTTGCACTTGACTGAGGTCACACATCCAGCTCATGCACAGCCAGGATCTCGTCCACTGTCCCCCTCTGCCTCACTTTGCCAGCCATGCCTATCAGTGAGAACAAATTCAGAAGCTTCTCTGGACGTGCGTCTTCCTGACCCCACCCAAATGGGATGATTCTGTTCCTGCTCCAAGTGGACCCGACTCCCGGGGCCACCCCTTATCTGCCGCTTCCCCGGAGCCTCACCTGACAGGTTTCCTCCTTGCAGCTCCTTGCCTGTGCGGTAGGGTAGCCTGAGAACTCATCTGACTTAACATGCTAGGACTGAGTGCCCCATCCTCCCCCAGACCGCCTCCTCTTCCTTTCTCCTCCTCTTCCTCTCCCTCCTCCCACATCTCTTCTTCCCCTTCATCTCCTGACCTTCTCCTCTTCCATTCCAGACCTCCTCCTTCTTTCTCCTCCTCCTCCTCTTCCTCCTTCCTAGACCTCTCTTCCCCCACCCCTTTCAGACTCCTTTTCTTGGGAATTCTCTCCCCCACCCCATCCTCAACTTCCCCATCTTCCCACCCGACAGTTCTGGTGATCCCCAGCCCCTGCTGATGTGTACCTGACTCTTTCTTTTTATTTTTTGGGTCACACCCAGCAATACACAGGGATCACTCCTGGCTTTGCACCACCTTGGTGGTGCTCGGGGTTACCATATGGGATGCTGGGGATCGAACCCTGGTCGGCCGCATTCAAGGCAAATTCCCTATCTGCTGTGCTATTGCTCTGGCCCCTGTACCTGACTCTTGAACCTCCCACCTTTCCTCCATCTGTCTGTGGGCCCTTGGGCTCAGGGTCTTTATCTGAATATCTGCATTGCTCTCCCCCTCACCCACCCGCCCCCACAGTTTCTAGCTCACCTTCCTGATGATTCCTGCTGATCCTTCTGTACTATGTCCCTGGCTATGTCCCTCCCTGCTAGTCCAGAGTTCCTGCCACCTCAGGGATAAACCTCCCAAGCCCAGATGTTGAGTCCCTGGCCAGCCCCTCTGCCTCCCGCTCCTCAGGCCTGCTGCTTCCACAGCCCCTTCCCTCCACCAGCCAGGCCTCTGCCCAGTGCTTGCTGCTGCAGGAGGACCCCACATTCAGTGCATCACCACGTTGAATGCCGCCCACCCATAACACCCGCTGGTTAGATGGGTGACCCCCTCATATACCTCAGGGTGCGGCAACAAGTGTCTGTTCCCCCGATTCAGCCCTGGTATTCTGCAGAGGGACAACTCTTTTCTGGCAGGTACCACTGTTCAGTCAACACTTGTTGAGCGGATGAATGTGTTCCCGGAAATATTGCAAATGAAATCTTTAAATGTGACTTTCGAAGGGGCACTGGAAGTCCAGAGGGATAAATCCTGCTCAGAGTCCTGATGCTTTTGAGACGGACAGGGCAGACCTCCCCCAACCCCCTGCCCCCTGCCTCCTCCCCCCGGTCTTGTAGAGATAGAAACCAAGTCCCAGGAAGGCCCGGAGGTCCAGGACTGAAGTGGCAGCGTTGGGCTGGGGTGGCTGGAGACAGAAATGTGTGTGTCCCCCCTACAGCAACATGGCAGTGTATTCTGGAAGACGGGGGCCAGCCGGGTGCTGCGGAGCCTGTCCCCGGACCTCCCGCTGCACAAGCAGCTGCAGGTGAGGGCACTGAGGGGGCACGGCAGGGGGTGGACCGTGGGCCATCTGTGCATTGCCAAAGGTGGAGGCTTGTCCACTGTCCAGTGCATGTGGGCTGCCTGCTACGCTATGGCGAATGTGCCTGGACTCTGGCAGAGAGTCTTCCCCAGACCCCCGTGTGATTCCCCCAACTTAGGAATCGGCTTTAGCACGGGCCACCCCCTGGTGAATCAGAGAAGGGGTCGCTGCCTTCTGTTTAGTCTCCCGGGCTCCCCAAGTCTGGCCCAGCTTCCCCTTCCCTGCCCATCTCCAGGGATGTCAGCAGGGCTCAGACCACTGGGCCCAGCCTGGGGGTGGACAGGAAGGGCCGCCCATAGGTCTCACACACACACACACACACACACATGCACTCACACACACGTACATACACACACATGCACATATACATATGCATGCACACATGCATGCACATACACAGACATGAGCATGCACACACACGCACACACATGCACATATACATGCACACACCGTCACGCACATACACTCAGGTATGCACACACATGCACACACATGCACACACGCACACATACACATGAGCATGCATGCACACATGCATACACATGAGCACACATGCGCACACACACACATGCATGCACATACGTGCGTGCACACAAACGCACTCACACACATACATATACACACATGCACACATGCACATATACACATGCATGCACATACACAGACATGAGCATGCACACACACATACACACATATACATACACACACTCACGCACATGCACATACACTCAGGCATGCACACACAGACATGCACACACGCACACATACACATGAGCACACACGCGCACATACACACATACACACGCGCACACACATATACTCGCGCACACACACACACACACACACACTGTGAATGGAAGTCCAGAGGGATAAATCCTGCTCAGAGTCCTGATGCTTTTGAGACGGACAGGGCAGACCTCCCCCAATCCCCTGCCCCTCCGCCTCCTCCCCCTGGTCTTGTAGAGACAGAAACCAAGTCCCAGGAAGGCCCGGAGGTCCGGGACTGAAGTGGCAGTGTGTTCTGGAAGACGGGGTAGTGTGACCCCAGCCCCCAAGCACTCAAGCCTGTGTATCGGCTGCTCCTTTCCAGGCCTGCTTTTCCATCAGCAACTGCCCAGTGTGGATGGACTCCAGCACCACTGCCCAGTGCCGCCAGCTGGAGGCTGCTGTGGGCGGTGCCCAGGCTCTCAGCCGCCTCACCGGCTCCCGCGCCTACGAGGTGGGTGGGTGGTGACTGTCATGGGTGGTGGCTGGGTGCTGAGACCAGAGTCTGCCTGGGGCAGGATGGGGCCTGAGAGATAGCACAGGGACTGAGGTGCTTGCCTGGCACTGCTTAGCATCCCCGGAGCCCAACCAGGAGTAATCTCAGAACCTGGATGAAGCCCTGAGTACTGCTGGGTGTGGCCCAAAGGCCAAAACAGACCAAAAAAAAAAAAAGCAAAAAAGCTGGTGTCCTGATAGCAGGGATCTTGTGTGGGTGTCTCCCATGTAGGACCTGCCCCAGGGCCATGGCTCTGAGCAAGTGTCTGGGACCAGGGCACACCTCCTCCTCATTCTCTTGACCCCAGGTTGTAGAGGAGCCTGAGCATGGCCTTGCCTCACACTGAGCGCCTGTGTTTGGGTGCGACATTGGCACCTTGGTGCCAGCCTTGGTCTCTTCAACCTGGGGACAAAAAAGAACAATTACATTTGGAGGTGGGGAGGTGGTTGGGCCACATCCTACCATAACCAGGGCTACTCCTGGCTCTGTGCTTAGGGATCATTTCTGGTGGGCTCAGAGGATCAACCTAGGTAAGTCAAGTGCCAGGCAAGTGCCCTACCCACTGTACTATCTCTCTGGCCCCCAGCATTTGGAAGAAGGTAAAGCACATCAGGTATTTACCATGCCTCCTGGGAAAGAGAAAAAAAGTGGGGGCCAGTATGATAGTGCAGCAGATAAGGTACTTGCCTTGCACATAACTAACCCAGGTTTGATTCCTGGCATCTCATATGGTCCCCCAAGCCCACCAGGAGTGATTCCTGAATGTAGAGCCAGGAGTAAACCCTAAGCATCCCTGGATGTGGCTCCAAAACAAAACAGAACAAAAAAACATAAAAAGTGTCTCATCCCTGCTGGCCTCAGCCAGGGGCTGTGATGGGCTGGGCTTGGGTCATGTGACTGCCAAGGGCACATGGGTCTGGGGGAGAAGCCCCCTCGGTGAGAAGAGTGTGTATGGAGGGGCCTCTGAAGAGCCCATGTCTACCATGCGCAAGGCCCTGAACTGAGTCTCATCCCTGCTTAGTCCCCTGTAAAAAAATAGATAAAAATAATATCAAAGGGCCCAGAGAGACGTGCAAGGATCAAGGCATTTGCCTTGCACATGCCAACCCGGGTTTGCTCCCCCTATGATCCCCCTGAGCACCACCAGGAGTGATCCCTGAGTGCAGAGCCAGAAAGAAGCTCAGAACACTGGGTGTGGCCCACTAATTAAACTAAGGGCTAGGGAGAGGGTTCAGAGAACCGGAGCACCTGCTTCACATGTGGGGCATCCTGGCTTTGATATCTGGCACCCAGGGTCCCCCACGACTGCCAGACATAGCTCCAAACTAAATAAATTAATTCTTTAAAAGCAGAAAAGAAGGGGCTGGAGTGATAGTACAGTGGGGAAGGCATTTCCCTTGCATGTGGCCAACCTGGGTTCGATTCCCAGCATCCCTTATTGTCCCCTGAGCACTGCCAGGAGTAATTCCTGAGTGCATGAGCCAGGAGTAAGCCCTGTGCATCACCGGGTATGACTGCTCCCCCTGCCCAAAAAAAATGCAGAAAAGAAGAATGTGGGTGAGTGTTTCCGCCATTCCCGACCAGTCCTGGCAGCAGGGCCTTCTCTGAGGGCCGGGCCTGGCCGCGTCCATAGCTGTGAAAGCAAAGCCCTGGCTGGTCCCCTGTGTGTCCTAGAAGCCACTTTCTCAACTATTTTTCCCGTTAGAGCCCCTTTACAACGCTGTTTCCTTCCTGTGACTGCCTGCCTCCCCTCTGCCCTACCCATGGCCCTCTAGTCTCGTGGTGGGGCCTCCATCTGTGTGACTTTCACCTGTGGCTCCCTTGGCATATCCTGGGGACCCCAGATTAGAGAGATTGGTCTGGAGGAGGCTACACTCAGCTCCCTCGGGATAGGACTGCTTGTTTGTCTTGAATTTGGGTTTCTTAGACTTGACTCTCCGTTGCCAGCGCTTCACAGGAAACCAGATCACCAAGATTTTCCAGCAGAACCCCGAGGCCTACGCATACACGGAGGTTGGTCAAATGTCCCTGTTGGATGGAACATCACAGTTGAATTGGCTTTCATCAACTTGCCGGCAGCGTGAGATGCGTGTCTCGGACGCATTGGTGAAAAGCGTTGGTTAGCAGGCATTACCAGGGATGCACGGCATGGCATGTGTCTCCTTGTCGGGCTATTTTATTTATTTTTGCTTTTTGGTCACACCCAGCGTTGCACAGGGATTACTTCTGGCTCTGTGCTCAGGAATTACTCCTGGTGGTGCTTGGGGGACCATATGGTGCTTGGGGTGCTTGGGATGCTGAGGATCGAACCCTGGTTGGCTGCATGCAAGGCAAACACCTTCCCTGCTGGACTATCGCTCCGGCCTCCATGTCAGGCTATTTTAAAGGGGTGTGGGGGAAAGTGAGACAGAGGCAGAAAGGACAGAGCTCTGGGCCAGGGTGGGCCACACCAAGATGCCCCAAGCACCCACTCTGCTCACTGTATGGTTGACTGGGCACTGATGGGTAGGGGGTCAGTGTGCTCCTTGCACACATATTCCTGGCCATGGCCTTTAAGCCAGAGTCCATGTCCCAGGAGCTCTGCAGACATGTGCCTTATTTGTTGTGTGGCTGGGAATCAGCATTAACATCACCTGAGAAGCCGCTTGACACGCTAGCTGGTGATTTTTCATTTCTGAGTCATTAGAAAACGGTCGGCTCATGTGAAGCTACAGTCCCCTTTTCATCTCGACACTGATGTGTGTCTCATCTTTGAACGCCCCATGCTGCCAGGTGACTGTGTAGCACTGGCCGCTAACATGGGTTTGGGGTGGAGGAGGTGAGGCGAGACTCTCCCCAGACTCTCTCTGAGCACCCATGGGTCCAGAATCCTTCTGTGAAGTCCTCATGGGGAAGTCGCTCTTGGTCTCTGCTGTCTGCACCGGGGGCTGTGGCTTCCCCCACACTAGCTTTCCCTGAGCTGTTCTGAACCCAAGAGTGACCCCATTGCTTCTGAGTCCCATGATCACATGTCCCATGGCCCTGAAAACCAGACACTAGGAGACTCCATGAGCCAGGGAGAAGGATGATGAGGGCTCCCTCCTCCCTCTTTCTTCCCCCCCCCCCCCGCACGTGGGTTCTGGATGGAATCTTTCCTGGGCCTGGCCTTGTGGGAACGGAACTGTCTTTGTGGGGTGCATGGTGCTATGGCAGATCCAGAGACTTGCCCACGCTGCCCCTCCCTGCATCCCAGCAGCAACCCTGACACTCTTTCTTAAAATGTTTAATTTTTTAAAATGTTTATAAAGTTGTTATGATTTATTACATTCAATATTCCAACACCAGTCCCACCACCATTGCACCTTCCCACTACCATTATTTCCAGTTTTTCCAACCAGCCCTCAAATCTGCCCCTAAAGCAGGCTCTAAATAATTTAATATTGCTTGTTGTAATTCGCTGAAAGTGATCAAAAATATTTCCTTAGATGAAAGTGTTTGAATGTTGTTGTATCTCACCATGGAGCCATTGAGTCCTTGTATAAGAGATTACTAACATGTTACATATTAAGCCTTGTGTGTTTATATTTTCTTAATTGAGATTGGTTACCTTCTACTTTATATCCCATCCAATGTGGTGTGCTACTCCTGGTTTATCAGCGGGGTAGAGTTTGAGATGTTAGGAATTCAAAACTTTCGGGGCTGGAGCGATAGCACAGCGGTAGGGCGTTTGCCTTGCACGCAGCCAACATGGCCGACCTGAGTTCGATTCCTCCACCCCTCTCGGAGAGCTTGGCAAGCTACCAAGAGTATCTCGCCCGCATGGCAGAGCCTGGAAAGCTCCCCATGACGTATTCGATATGCCAAACACAGTAACAACAAAGTCTCCAATGGAGATGTTACTGGGCCCGCTTGAGCAAATCGATGATCAACGGGAGGGCCTTTACCTTTACCTTTACCAAAAATTTCTAACGAGGTGATATAACTGGAGTTAAAGTTTTAATTAAAAGTAGGTGACTTTGGGCGGCCCAGATGACTCAGCCTGGTGCAGGGTCCAAAGGCATCTCTGTAACTTGTTGATTTCTTTTGAGATTTATTTATGAGTCTCTGGATCATGGCCAGTTAATGAGCTTATTTGGTGCCCGAGGCAGTTCATGGGCATGACTGCCAAGCTTCCGGAAGAACAGGGAGACAGGGACTGGGAGACGTGGAGGAGATGGGGGAAGGTAGCCCATCCCTGACTCTGTGAGAGCCTGGAGATATCAGTCACAAAACCTGCATACCCGAGTTTTTCAACAGATCCAATTTATGGATGCTGCTTGTCCCGAGCAGTGGAGTCTGGCCGTGAGCCTGACAGTGCTTGTGGACCCCGACAATCTTGTTCAGGGTTGGGGTTTAGTCAGTGCCCACTGCAGGCATCTGGTTGACCTGCAGCCAGCCTCTTCCGGACGTGCAGCCGCTTTGCCCCATGAGGGAGAACCATGCATCACCTGCCGTTTTCCTTTGCAGAGGATCTCCTTGGTTAGCAGTTTTGCTGCTTCCCTCTTCCTGGGTTCTTACTCCCCGATTGACTACAGCGATGGTAAGGGCAGCTTTGGCATCCTGGTGAGAGCCTGTGTCCAGTGTCTGGAGGGTGTGTATTCCTCCATCTCTTGGGCTTGTCATATGTGGGTGCCCACCAGTCCACTTCCTCAGTGACATGTGTCCCAGCATGTGGCCCCTGGAGACTGCCTGCATTGGTTGCCTCCCCCATGGTGGCAGGTCAGGAACCTGGGAGCTGCTTGTCGGGCAGACCATTGCTGTCCAGTACTTCGGTCTACTGCAGTATGACCCGCGAGGCTGGACCCACTTCTGGAATCACACACACACAGTTTTGGCCCACAGATGGTGGCTCTTTGACTTCTGGATGTGCCTGAGCTGGCAGCTGGGGGCCCCCACAGGGGAGGGAGAGACCCCCTCCTCCCTGCTTCAGCAGCGTCTCTCACACCTCATCCTCTATCCCCAGGAAGGGGCCACCCCTCAGGGGGGCAGGCACCCCCTCTGTGGGTGAGCAGGGGCTATCCTGAGGCCAGGCAGGCCCACAAGAAAGTGTCACCTGAAGTTTTGCTCCCATCTGGGGAACTCAGCGTCTCTGTCGCTGGTTCCACAATGACCTTGAGTCCCCTCCGTTGGGCAGAACCTTGGAGAGAGCCATCCCTGCTGGCGGGGAGCTTTTCACAAGAGCTCTTTCAGCCGCTCTTCTGTTTTGTTTTCATTTTGTGTGTGTGTGTGTGTGTGTGTGTGTGTGTGTGTGTGTGTGTTGTTTTCATTGTCTTCCATAGGTTCTGGGATGAACTTGCTGCAGATACAGGAGAAAGTCTGGTCGTCGACATGCCTGAGAGCCTGCGCACCACACTTAGAGGAGAAGCTGGGTGCTCCTGTGCCCTCCTGCTCCATCGTGGTAGGTCCCCACTCCACTGAGGGGCCATGGGTCTGTGGTGAGGCAAGGCAGCACACGCTCATGTACACAGGGGCCTCCACATCCACAGAGGATTCAGGCAGCCCAAGGGAAGGGTTTGGCATAAACCGGTGTTTAACCAGATTCGGCTTGAGGCAGACAGTTGGGAGCAGAGGGAACTGGCAGCCCCCTGAGGTCATGTGGGGCTTGGCTCTTGGCCGTCTGGCTTGCCCATGAGTGCTGCTTTAGTCTTCAGCCTCAGTGCCCTCTTGTCTCCCATCGTTCTGGAACAATGGGGATTATCCTGTCTCCCTGGGTCATGCAGGAAAAAAAATGTCCATGCATTCAAAGGCCCAAGACTGTGTCTGGTCCATGGAAATATGAAAAGCATCCACCCACTCTTTGCAGTGCCGTGCCCCATTCAGGTCGGACACGGGCCCTTCCATCCTCTAAGAGGAACCAGGTGCAGAGAGAGGGCACCGCCCTCAGGGCCCTTGGTGCAGGCCACCTGGGCAGAGCAGTCGATGTTCAGAGTGGGAGAGCGTTGGCAGTGGAGGCAGGAAAGTTCTCCCAGGGCTTGGAGAAATGATCACACCCCACAGGGAGCCCTAGCTCCTGAGACTACCCCAGGGTGCAGAAAGCAGCCTTTGGCCCTCAGACCCCAGAGGGCCTTCCACCTCTAAGAGGGAAGCATTTCCTCCACTGCAGCCATAAGCCACAGACTTGCCTCCAGGTGGGTCTAGCCTGCACTCAGCCCAGCCAGGTTCAATCCCCAACACTCTACATGGTCCCCCAAGCCCTGCCAGGAGTGATCTCTGAGAACAAAGGCAGGAATAGATCCTGATCACTGCTGGGAGTGACCCCAAACCCAAAATACTCCTGGTGCTTCCCTGGGGTTCCTTCAGCACCAGAGGCCAGAGGCCATGCGGGCTCTGGGGGGCCATGCACAGTTGGCCACCATGGCCTGCACCGTGCGTACTTGCTGTTCTCAGGGAGCCGTGTCTGCCTACTATGTCCGGCGCTATGGGTTTTCTCCCGACTGCAAAGTGGTGGCCTTTACTGGGGACAACCCAGGTGAGTACCTCAGGGCTTTTGGGGATGGGGTGGGGGTGGGGTTGCTCCCCAGAAATAAGGCACTTCTTCCCCTCCATAAACTGCCTTTTTGTTTGTTTGTTTGTTTGAGTGAGACACATTCAGTGATGCTCTGGGCAGATGCCCTGCCCGCTGTGCTTTGGCCCCAGATGTTTTTTTTTTAAATTCCCTTTCTAACTCCCCTCCCTGCTGCTAAGGTTGGGAATAGACTGAGTGTGATGCTCGCTGAGGCTGCCACACAAGTGTACACCCTCTGTTGTGCTCACACATGTTCTGGCTGTAGTGTGTATATGTGTGTGTGTGTGTGTGTGTGTGTGTGTGTGTGTGTGCGCGCGTATGTTGGGGGTGGGCAGAGTCACCTCCTTAGTGTTGCTCCCTGGGGCTGCTCCCCTTAGCTGTGCTAACACATTTGCTGCTGTGTGTTGGTACCAGGGCAGGAGGGCCCCCGGGCAGCACCAGGAGTCCCACTCGCAGCATCATGCTTGCAGGCCAGGCCTTCCTGCTCCCGAGCCTCCCGGGACCCTGTGTGAGCTGCCATGTACCTGCTGCTATGTTCCTGCCCCACGGTGGTCCTGTTAGAGAAATCTCACGAGGGAACAGGCAGCACCTGGGGGGTCAGAGGGAGGCAGCCCTGTCTCATGAAGCATGCAGACTTGGCCTGGCTCTCGCCAAATTGGGCCGAGCCTCCAACGCACAAAGAGCTTTGCTAGTCTGGTGACCAGCAGCCTCAGTTCTAGGGTGACAGGAATGGGGACAGGGTCACAGCAATTAGTAAATGTCTATATGGAACTTAAGACACTGTGTTCATCACTGAATGGACCAACTGTTTATATGTTAGTGACTTGCTCTCTCTCTCTCTCTCTCTCTCTCTCTCTCTCTCTCTCTCTCTCCCCTCTCTCTCTGGTCTGATAAAGGTATCTTCTTACACTCACTAGAAGAATGTCAGACAGGATAACAGCCTTCATTTTTTCGGGTTTTGGTTGGGGGGAGGGGCACGGTGGTAGTGTCCAGGGCTCACTCCTAGGTCTGTGCTCAGAAATCACTCCTGGAGATGCCTGGGGACCATCTGTGGCACCAGACATGAGATTGGGGTTGGCTGCATACAAGCACGCTGCCCATGGTACTGTCTTTTAGGAATGGGCTTCTATTTAACTGCTGAAATGGGAGCTTCTAGGTGTACCTGAGCTGGAATGACAAAGCAGCAGCTTTCTCGTGGACTTGGGGAACGCTGGGTGAATGTTTGGGCTACAGGTGTTGGCCGCAGGCGGGAAGCCCCTGAAGGGCAATCAGTGTGCAGTTTGCTGCTGCCTTAAGTGACACATTGATTACGTCTTCACTACAGCAACACCCAGGAGGGTGGCCAAAAGCACCTGCCTTAGCAGCTTGAGGCTGAGGGTCTCCTAGGTGCCCGGGCTGGATTCCAGTGGTCCTATTCTTCTCCAAGCCGCCCCCACCCCGCACCCCAGCAGTTGTGGTCCCTGGAGAGCACTGCAAGTAAAGATGTGGGAGCACCATAGTCAGTCAGGAGTGCAGCCCCCCAGTGTGCCGTGTCTGAAGAGACACGAGGAATGAGCATCTGGGATGGGGCAGCCCTCTCTCCTGGCCCCCCTCCCCAATCTTTACCAGCACCTGTGGACTTGGTGCTCCCGGGAGCACCTGGGGGAGGGTGGGGAGCTTGGTCCCCTTGAGGAAGGAGCTCTCCCAGTCCTGTGTGCCTGGGGCTCAGCCCTGGACCCTGGCCACCCTGTGTTCACCTTGTTCCTGGCTTGTGCTAGGGAAGGGTGGAGGGGGCTGAGATCCCACCTGGGGTGACTGTGGTCTGCTTGAGGCGCCTGTGTGACCCCCGCTAACCAGAAATTGTCTCCCATTCTTAGCGTCACTGGCCGGTATGAGGCTGGAGGAAGGTGACATTGCGGTAGGTGACCTCTCCCCATCCACGGGGGCTGTCCTCTCTGCCCTGGGGGATGGTACTGCAGTTCTCAGTCCAGCCTCGCTGCCTCAGAGAAGTTTTGCCCATTCTCCAAAACAGTCAGGGGGCAGGGGGGACAGGAAACCCCCAGGCCTGCATGCCTCAGCTCTGCTGCCCTGGCCAGTCTTGGGAGCTCCTAGTGGCAGAGGGTCAGACGTGAGGCCCAAGACTGAGCTCTCAGATGGTCAAGGAGGACACAAGCCATGACCTGGATCCAGTGGGAAGTCCTTTGGCCGGGGGCGGGGGGGAGGGGGAGGGGAGCCAGGCACCCCGCGGTGAGCTGCAGCTCGGATCAGTTCTCAGCTCTGGCCCCAAGGGTCCAGCAGAGTTGGGGGGAGCTGGCAGGGAAAGGGCAGAGGGTCTCCCCAGGAAGTGGTTGCAGTGGGGGGGGGAAGTCACCCAGAGGTGTTGGGGGTTACTCCTGGCAGCACGGTTCTGGGGGGAGGGTCTGTCTTCCTGATCCAGAAGTGGCCTCTGACCTGAGGCCCACAGCTGAGCAGGGGTCAGGGCAAGGGGAGCTGAGCAGTGATGTAGTACCCGCCTCTGTCCTCCCCAGGTCAGCCTGGGCACCAGCGACACCCTCTTCCTGTGGCTGCAGGAGCCCACGCCCGCCCTAGAGGGCCACATCTTCTGCAATCCTGTGGCCCCACAGCACTACATGGCACTCCTGTGGTAGGTGGGAGGGTGGGGCCGGGCTCCCCCAAAACCAGCTTCGGGCCCCTGACCCCCCCATCCCCACCACTACCCCTGGATCCTCAGTTGGCCTGGGGCCACCCCAGAGCACATAGTGGGGAGACTCACCCTGGGGTGCTCAGAGGGAGTCCTCCTGGGGATACCCCCAGCATGCGGAAGGGCAGTCAGCGCCTCCCGCTTTGACAGCGGTCAGAGAAGGGGGTATGGGAGGGGCGCATTCCGCACCCCAGCACAGGACATCGCAGAAGGTGCAGGGCCTGACCCATGCCTCGTCCGGGCACCCCCACGTGCGGGATCCCGACTCGGCCCTCCCTGGGGCTCCTTCATGGCATCTCTGAATGCAGAGTGTGAGGCTGGTGTGTTTGTTTTTTCTTTGTACGGCCCTGGGGTGCTCTCTCCTGGCAGTGCTCTGGGGACCCTGCGGGCCCAGCTACCCACATGCAAAGTTGCATTGCCACCCCTGGCCTGCGTCCCCGGCTTCCGAGAACCCAGTGTAAAACTGGGTTGACAAAACTTCTTTGAGGAGCGAGGAGGGGTTTGGGGAAGAGATGTGTGCGGGTCTGATGGTGGAGCATGCCTTGGGGCCTCCCTCAGGCAGGGTTCTGTGGTCCACTCTGAGCTGCAGGTCCTGCCCCGGGGTGGTCAGCCAGCCCCGAGAGTGACCACTAAGACTTTGTGGCCTTCCTTCTGCAGCTTTAAGAACGGCTCCCTCATGCGAGAGAAGGTCCGCGACGAGTCGGCCGCTGGCTCCTGGAGCGAGTTCTCTAAGGCGCTACAGTCCACGGAGATGGGGAACGGCGGGAACCTGGGTGGGCTGCTGCGTGGCGCCCAGGCTGGGGGGGGAGGGGCTGCGGGGGCCTGTGCAGGGATCAGAGGGCAGCGGGGAAGCCTCAGGTTGCCCTGTCTGGGTGCGGTTCCCACGCGAGTAAAGTGGGGCTGTGAGTCTGATCCCAGCTGCAGAGTCAAGGCTGCAGACCTGGGGTCGGCCCCACTGGTGCTCCCCTGACACCAGCCAGTCCTGGGACCTGGGCACCTCCTGAGCGGGAAGAGGCCCACTGCTCCCACACAGCCCGTGCTGGCGTTTTAGGGTTATCCGGGTGACTGCCTCTGACCTGGGCTCCCAGGACGGAGTTGATCATGTGATGTCTAAGAGAAGTTGTCTGGGTGTTGCCAGCTGCCACCATCCTGCTGGAGATGAGCAGCTGGGAGCTGAGACCCTGGGGAGTAGGAGGGGGTGGGGGTACTGGAACAGGGGGCAGCTCACTCTTCCCCTTTCCAAGTCTATCAAGAACAAATGCACCCCACCCCCCATCTCTCTAACCCCAAAACTCAACTTTTTATTTTTTATTTTATTTCAGTTTTTTTTTTTTGCTTTTTGGGTCACACTCGGAGATGCACAGGGGTTCCTCCTGGCTCATGCACTCAGGAATTACTCCTGGCGGTGCTCAGGGGATCATATGGAATGCTGGAAATCGAACCTGGGTTGGCTGCATGCAAGGCAAACTTCCTACCCACTGTGCTATGGCTCCAGCCCCTCAACTTTTTTATTTTTAAATAAATAAAAGTAAAAGGGAGTTGGAGCCATAGTACAGTGGATAAGGCATGTGCCTTGCATGTGGCTGACCTAGGATCAATCCCCGGCATCCCATATGGTCCCTTGAGCACCAACAAGAGTAATTCCTGAGTACAGAGCCAGGAATAAGCCCTGAGCATTGACAGGTATGGCCCCAAACCAAAACAACATCACCACCAACAAAAAAACAATTTAAAAAATTACATAAAAATATAACCTTCAGGTGCTGGAGCGATAGTACCGCGGGTAGGACATTTGCCTTGCACGCAGTTGACCCAGGTTCCATTCCTAGCATCTCATTGGTCCCCGAGCACTGTTAGGAGTAATTCCTGAGTGCACGAGTCAGGAGTAACCCCTGTGCATCGCCAGGTATGACCCATAAAGGAATAAAAAACCACATATATATATAAAACCTTCATCCAACGGACAAGACGTGAAAGGGGGCATCTCACATCTTTTGCTTTTGATCACATACAGCTCAGTGCTCCATTGCTTATTGGTCTCACTTCAGGTTTTTATTTTGATGTCATGGAGATCACCCCTGAAGTGATTGGGCGTCACCGATTCAATGCAGCAAACCAGGAGGTAAGCATATTGCTGAGCATGGAGTGACATTGGCTCCATTTGGGAGTTGTGGATAGGAGCGTCACCAGTCTCTGCTGCCCCGCTCATTCCCGCAGTCATGGCCAAAGCCAACCTTTCCAGGGTGCACGCTACCCGCCCCGGGGCCCACTGTGCCCAGGGCCGCTGCCTTCCTCTCTGAGGAGTGCCAGCACCCTGGGGCCTCCGTGGAGCCGGCTTGTGTGAGTCTCACTCTCCAGGACCTACATTGCTCCACATCCTGAGTTTCCTCCCGGGGAAAGCGAGGGGAACGGCAGGCTCCCTGCTGCCACTGCCGTGTGTACTGAGTGCTGCTTAATTGAACACTGTGCTGGCAGCCGCAGCTTCTTCTCACTTACTGCCTGAGCAATAACTGCAAAGCCAGTTATTAGAATACCCTGTACAGATGAAGAAACAGAGGCCCAGAGAGATGAAATAATTCACCCAAGTCATGAGGACGTGCATGGGTGGGGAGGAAAGCGCAAACCCAGGGCTTGTTGGCCTGGAAACATTATTTTGGGGGCCTGGGGTCACATCTGATGGGGTTCTGGTGCCACTTGTAACTCCGGACCCAAGGATCACTCCTGGTGGTGCTTGGGGGACCACATGTAGTTGTCAAGATCAGTACTGGTTGACTGTATGCAAGGCAAGCATTTTGCCTTACCAGACTGTCTCTCCAGGTCCAAGAAGTGGATGTTTATTTTTTTTTTTAAAACCACATCTGCATCAGAGACCACCTCTCAAGGAGCTCACATCCTGCTTCTGCCGTTCAGCTTGGTGATTTTGACTAAATTATTTGAGTATTTTTGTTTGTTTTGGAGGTTATACCCAATGGTGCTCAGAGGTTACTCTGAGCTCTGCATTCAGGAATATTCCTAGTAGTGCTCAGGGAATCATATGGGATGCTGCAGATCTAACCTGGGTAGACCATGAACAAGTCAAGTGCCCTACCACTGTATTATCGCTCTGGCCCCAATAAGTGGTTGTTTTGTACTGGAGAGATACAAGAGGGTAAAATGCTTGCCTTGCATGCAGCTGACCCTGGCATAGCATATGGTTCTCCAAACCTCTCCAGGAGTGATTCCTGAGTGCAAAGTCATGAGTAAGCCCTGAGCACAGCAGGATGTGCCCCAAAAACCAAAAGGGAAAAAAAAAGTAGCAATTTTTTTCCCCCTTCACCATTTCTCTCCCCAGGAGTGATTAGGTCTGTTCTTGGTGCTTTGAGTTGATTTGTGAGATCACCGAAATCGTCACCGCACTGGGGGTTGGACCTGAGAGATTCTGGCTAGTCCTTGTCATGGTTAGAGTTGACCCGGGAGTCTGTGGCCAAGGATGGCATCATTCATGGGATGAGGAGCAGGAAGCTGGGTGGATTCCAGGCTTTTGAGGCAGAATCTTTTGGTTTCTGTCATCCACAGAAGATGGGCCAGAGGAACCAGAATTCCAGCACTGCCTGGCATTGCTCTTACTCTAAAAACAAACTAATAAAACTGAGGCGCAGCAAGGCTGCTTTATTATTATTATTATTATTATTATTTTCTTCTGGTACTGAGGTGAACCCAAGTCCTCTACCTGCAGGGCACAAGCTCTACCAAAGAGCCACATCCCTAGCCTTAACACTTAGGTAATTCATTCAGGGGCCAGAACAGTGTATAGAGGGTAGGGCACTTACCTTGGGTGCAATCCCAGGTACCCTATATAGTCCCCCAAGCACCACCAGGCTTGATCTCTGAGTGCAGAGTTCAGAGTAAGCCTTGAGCACTACTGGGTGTAACCCCTCAAAAAAAACAAAAAGAGACTCGGATAATTTATTCAGAATCACCAAGCTGAATGGCAGAAGCAGAATGTGAGCCCTTAGCTCCTTGAGAGGTGCTCTCTGATGCAGCCTCCCTCAGGGAAGTCCCCTCACAGGGTTTGGTTTTGTATGTTTGTGTGAGTGTGGGTGGCAGGCAATGTTTGTGACTCAGGAGCTCTTACACTCCTGTGGAGGCCTGAGTCACAAATTCCAAACCCGGGCTACTGTTAACGGACACGCGTAGACACTTGCATAAACATATACTTTTGCATGTGCGGTTGTGTGCACATACACGCACATTTAAATGTATCTGCCCACTCAAACACACATGTACCTCATGTATGCTCAAATGCACACTTAAACACATGCATACCAGATGTGTTCTAACACCTATGCACACTTAAACACAATGCACACATGCATACTCATGCATACACACATGCACACCAGATGTGCTCAGATGTACAAACACACGTGCACATTCAAACACATGTACACTCTTAAACATAATGTACACACATGTGCACACTCACACACACATGCCCACTTAAACACACATGCACGCCCAGTGTGCTCACCCTCGGGCACAAACACCCGCACACCTGCTCACATGCGCACTCACACACTTGCACTTACAAACACTTGCGTGCACACTCACACCCACACACACATGTGCCGTGAGAGTGTCACTCACTCTGTGCCCTCCCCCCAACAACAGGTCCCAGCCTTCTCCAGGGAGGTGGAGATTCGTGCCCTGATTGAAGGACAGTTCATGGCCAAGAGGATCCACGCTGAGGGCCTGGGCTATCGAGTCAGTAAGTGAAGCTGCTGGCAGCCCTGGCTGGGGGTGGCGCCAGGGTCGCTGAGGGCTTTGAGACCCTTCCCGGCCTTCAGGCCTGGCCTTCAGTATGGGGGTCTCATCAAGCAGGGGGTAGAATCCGGTCCCCGGTAGAAAGTGAGTGGAGGGCAGGATACGCAGTTCAGTGGTCAGACCCTTACCTGCTGCGTGTGAGGCCTGGACTGGGCCCCTGCTATCCCCTCACACATATTGCCTGCCACTTATGAGTAGCCACACACTATAGGCGCGTCTCTTCCGCCTCACTGCTCATCTCCAGGAGGGCTTGGAGTGTATTCTATAGCCCTTAGCTCTAACCGGCAGGTTGAACATTCACCTGCTGGACTTGGAGGACAGGGGCAGTGCAAGTGGGGCAGGTCTAGGCTGGGGCCATCACTGGACTTGGCCTTCTAGCTTAGGCAAACTCCAGTCTATGTGGGGGGGGGAGTAGTCACCATCCCGGGCCTTTCAGTTTGGACAGGGAAGACCATGTTGTAGGAACCATGGGTGGGGGGGGAGGTGGGGAGGAAGGGCCTCTGAGAACTTGAACCATGAATGGGCAGCTTTAGGGGATTTGTGAACTCCTCTAACTGGAGATATTGGGTGGGTCTCGGGGGGAGGGAAAAGGGTATCTGCTGGTTTAGAGTCCAGACTATGAGATGCGTTTGGCCCTCGGGGAGGCAGCTGCTGTCACCCACTATAGACAGTAGAAAATGCTGGAAGTGTAGCGTGTTTCCTAGACAGCCTCCTTGAGACACTCTGTGTGCACAACCCAAGTTCTAGGTAGTAGCTTTTTTGTTTCGAGGAAGTTTCGAGGCCCACTCTGACGGCTCTTGGGGGTCTCTTCACAGCACAGTGCTCTGGGGATCTTACAGTGACAGGGAAGGAACCTGGGACGTGGACAGGCACAGCCTGGGCCCCAGCTCTTGGCGCCGTCTCCCTGGCCCTTGTGAAATAGGTGCTTTATGTCTTTAATCCAACCAAGTAAAAGAAAACTACAAAAACAAGCATTCGGTACAGGGTTTTGGAAAACCTGTTCAGCAACATCCACCAGAGCTGTGTCTACACCTACCCAGCAATCTCGCATTTCAGGAAGACAATCGAAATTCTCACATGTTCCTGAAATCCCTGTGGCTCTGTGCTCACAGCCCCCTCCCCGGAAACCATCCAGCTCTGGTTGAGAGTAGGCAGGCTCGGCTCTTGGAGGCGTAATTTAGGCCCGTGGTCCCGCCCATAAACGAAACCGAACCGGCTTCCACTACAGCCAGCTGACTAGACGAGTATCCCCCCGTCACAGAAAGTAAAACAGGCCCAGCACATGGCAGGATGCTGTGGGCAGCACATCCTAAACCAGACAAAAGTCTTCGCTATTGGACATTAGGAGGTTAACTGGCAGGAGGTGGCCCCTGGGTGCTGATGGTGCTCAGGCTCATGGCTCATCGTGGGTGAAAATTTGTCAAGTTTTCCCCTGAGGATGAGGATGTCCACTTTTAAAGATATATGTGAGAGTGCAGTGCAATAAATAATAATAATAATAATAACAATAAATAGATAAACAACCTATTTACAGTAGATCAGAAAGATCCAACCAAGACTCAATTCCAGACACCGCTTTTTCATTTATGTTCGTTTGGGGGCCACACCCGGTGGTGCTCAGGCCTTTCTCCTGGCTCTGCACTCAAGGATCGCTCCAGTGGTCTCAGGGCACCATATGGGATGCCAGGGATCGAACCCAGATCTGCCACGTGCAAAGCAAATGTCCTACTCATTTTTTAAAATGTTTTCACTGCTTTTATTTATTTATTTGTTACATTTTTTAAAAAAATTTTTGTTAGTGAAACACCATGAGATACAGTTGTAGATTTACAAATTTTTGTGCTTGGGTTTCAATTGTACAATATTCAAACACCCATCCCTCCACCAGTGCCCATTTTCCACCACCACGGGTCCCAGTATCCCTCTCACCCCCCATCTCCCCATCCCACCCTGCCTCTGTGGCAGGGCATTTCCTTTTGTTCTCTCTCTCCTTTTGGGTGTTGTGGTTTGCAAAAGAAAATGCCCTACTTATTGTGCTATTGCTCCAGCCCACATAATGCAAAAATGTTACGTCAGTAAATGTGATGACTAGTTCTGTTTCTTCCTGCTACCTAGAGTAGAAGCCAAAGGTCCCCGGGAGTCCACAGAGACTTCAGAGTTCCCTGAGAAATGAAATGGGGGTCAGGGGGTGCTGAGATTGGGGCCTGGTGGGACGGGTTCTCTGGCTCTCAGCAGGGGTGCTTGATGGAGAGACTGTCCCTGACAGCCCAGGGCCAGGAGAGCAGAGCAGAGAGGTCCCCCTGGGCTCGGGAGCAGTTATGGCCCTGGGTCATTATTCCACATCCCAAAAAGCCTTCCTCCTTCAAGCAGCCAGGAAGTTGCAACCTAGAGGTTGCAGCAAGGGGGTTGCACATGGGCATGTGGCAGCCTGGTCCTGCCTGGGTGGATTGGTCAGCTCGTGCTTTGTTGCGAGCAGGTACTATCTTGTTTTAATGGTTTGAATGAAGGTGCTTTGATCCTGATGGCGAAAGCTGCCGGCCTTTCCTCTGCCCTGCCTTGTTGGACTGAACAGGGGTCGCACACCTGTTTGGTTGCAGAGCTCTCTGGGGTTCACCATCCTGGCCCCGCGGGACTCTCTGGTATGGCCTGGGGAGCTCCCAAGCTGTAGAGCGTTGCGGGGATGGGGCTGGGCACAAGTGGGGGACATTGAGAATAGAACTCACAGCATCGTGCTTGCAAGGCAGGTGCTTTTGTCACCCCTGGGACCTGGCTGCAACATTCTGAGCACCCACTGTTTGCCCTGCCTGATTCCTCCCTGTTCAGAGCAGTGCAGGTTCCTGGCATTGCTCCCATGTCGCCGAGCAGGAAACTCCATCTGGGCATGCCAAGCAGCTTTCTTGAGTTTGTCAGAGCTTTTGCACCAAACCAGGTTGGCTGCAGACTCTGGGTTCTTAACTGTTGGCCCAAATATACAGAGTTTCTGGAAATGCTTCTTCTCTTGATGCTTTGGTCCCAGCAGATCCTCACACCAACTGGACCCAGCTGAAATGTGTTTCCCTAGATAGTTCATTTTGCCTGGTTGATTTGCAAAGGCAATTAAAATGTTATTATGGGGGCCTGAAAGATAGTACAGTAGGTTGGGCGCTTGCCTTGCATGCAACTCAGGTTCACTCCCCTACACCCCACAGGGTGCCCTGAGCCCTGCCAGAGGTAATCCCTCAGCACAGAGATAGGAGTAAGCCCTGAGAATCACCAGGGATGACTCACTGAGAGAGAATCCCATGACGCAGAAGTGAGATTGCAGAGCTCTGTTTGCCTGCCTGGCCCCTGCTTCCATATCCTCATGTCAGGCAGTGGTCACTGGGGACTGGCTGGGGAGGGTGAGCTCTGATAGGGACATTTTCAGATCCCTGCCCCCACCCCAGGCCACATGTAGCTGGCTACACAGTTTTTTGGTTTGTTTTTGGGCCACGTCAAAGGGTTGCCCAGGGATTACTCCTAGCTCTGCATTCAGGAATCATTCCTGGTGGGCTCAGAGGACCATATGGGAAGCAGGGGATTGAACTCTGGTCAGCCACATGTAAGGCAAATGCCTTGACTACTGTACTGTGGCTCCAGCCCCACAGCTGCTATATATTTGGTGGTTTTCTCTGTCCCTGGCATGTTCCTCAGCTCTGTACTCACTTCGTAGCCGTCCCATCCCTCCTGGATGGGGCAGCACTAAGGTCCCACCTCATTCCACAGTGTTTCTTTAGACTGGTTTACATTCACAACTGTTTGACGGCTTTACATAGTATGGTGCGTAAGGCTCTGGCTTTGCATGCAGCCAACCTTGGTTTGATCCCTGGCACCACATATTGGCCCCTGGTCCCTGAGGGCAGAGCCAGAAGTAAGCCCAGAGCACTGACAGGTATAGCCCTAAACCCTAGATCCAAAAAATCATAAGGAAATAAATAAAATGGGCTAGAGAGATAATATGGGCTGGAGCGATAGCACAGTGGGTAGGGCATTTGCCTTGCACGCAGCCAACATGGCCAACCTGAGTTCGATTCCTCTGCCTCTCTTGGAGAGCTCGGCAAGCTACCTAGAGTATCTCACCCGCACAGCAAAGCCTGGCCAGCTACTCATGACGTATTCGATATGCCAAACACAGTAACAACAAGTCTCACAATGGAGACATTACTGGGCCCGCTTGAGCAAATGGATGGACAACGGGAGGACAGTGCTACAGTGCAGAGAGATAATGCAGCTGGCAGGGTCTCCTGCATCGGCCAGCCCAGGTTCGATTCCCGGCACCTCCACATGGTTGTTCCTCAAACCCCACCGGGAGGTGACCCCTGGCACTGCTGGGTGTGTCTCACAAACAAAAACAAAAAAGAGAAAGCCGTGGGTTTTGTTTATTCAGCATTCGTTGGTACAGCTCAAGTGTCGTTCTTTCTTGACTATTTCCATATTAACTAATACTGAATATTAACTAATATTCATATTAAACTAATTCCATATTAACTAATACTGAATCTATGTGTGTTATTCCACTGAAGTTTACCTGGAGGCAGAGGTATGTGGACGGGGGCTGCTCCTGGCTTTGTGCTCAGGAGGGACCTGGCAGTGCTTGGGGGTGCACATACAGTGCAGGGAGGTCAAACAGGACCAGCCGCATGCAAGATCAGTTCCTGTGCTATTTCTTATTTGAGGATTTTTTTAATTTGTTTTTTTTGGGGGGTCACACCCGTGGCCCTCAAGAGTAACTTCCAGCTTAGTGTTCTGCGGGGACATGCAATGCCAGGGTTGGAACCTGGGTGTCCTGCATATAAAGCCTGTGCTCCACCCCGTGGAGCTGTCTTCTTGGGTGGCCCCAGTTTAGTTTTTTATTGTGGAAAAATATGCATGAGGCATAGGATATACAGTTACTTATAAAACATTAATGAATCACATCCCTGAAGAATAGAATATTGGATGTCCCAAGAGTAATAAGCCATCAAGTAATTTTTTTTATTTTTTAATTTATTAAATTTTATTTTGGGTTTGGTGGACACATCGATCAGGGGACCATGTGATGCTGAGGATCAAATAGGGGTTGATTATGTGCAAGGCAAGAATCTCAATCCTTGTATTGTCTATTCAGCCCCCCACCCCTTTATCAAGACAGTCAGAACCTTAGCACTAACCTGGTTACCCCTTCACTTGCATGCCTATTTCCCCAGAGAGCATTTCTGTCCTGACTTTGGTGTTGGCTTTGCCAACAATGCATGCTTTTGTCAATTTATGTTGCTTACTTTACCTGTTTCTGAATGTCCTGATGGCATGGACGGACTTTCTTTTTTAGCTCAGTGCTGTTCATGAATGCACTCATGTGAGCTCGTGTTAAGTGAGTCGCTGTTAACTGGCTATAGTTTAGTCATAGTATTCCATCCTGTGATTCTGTCAACTTATCCCATCTTCTGTGGAATACATTTTGTCTTTCTAGGTCAGTGTTTGGAGCAATACTGCAATGCTTGATCTCCTAAATGTCCTTGTGTGACTTTTCTCTATATCATCTCTGTTTCTCTTAACAAGGCTTGCCATGGTTGGATTTTTTTTGCATTTTTGCCAATCAGATGGGCCTGCTGGCTCAGTCTCATCCACTGAGTTATATCTGTCTGCGTTTATCCTCTTGTTCCTCCTTCTTCTCCTCCTTCTCCTCCACCTTTTCTTCCTCCTTCTCCTCTTCCTCACCCCCTGTTCCACTTTCTGCTCCTCTTCCTCCTCCTCTCTTCCTCCTCCTCATCCTCGTCGTCATCCTCCTCCTCCTCCTCCTCTTCCTCTTCTTCTTCTTCTTCTTCTTCTTCTTCTTCTTCTTCTTCTTCTTTCTTTCTTCATCTTCTTCTCCTTCTACTTCTCCTTCTCCTTCTTCTCCTCCTCCTCCTCCTCGTCCTCATCCACATCCTCCTTTTCCTTCTCTTCTTCTTCTCCTCTCCCTCCCTCTCCTCTGCCTCCTCCTCCTCCTCCTCCTCTTCCTCCATATTCTCGATATCCTCCTCCTCCTTCTTTTTTGGGGGGTAGGATAGGGTCACACCTGACTGTGCTCACTGGTTACCCCTAGCTCTGTGCTGCTCAGGAATCACTCCTCGCAGTGTTTAGGGGACCCCATGGGGTGCCAGGGCTTGAATCCAGGTCAACTAAGTGCAAGGCAACGCCCAAACCGCTTTGCTGTTGCACTGTACCCAGCATTTCCAGTCTTGACACCTGAGCCTAAAGGACCTACTTCCTTTTCAAGTAATCACCCTTAAAATTTCAATGCATTGGGTCAGAAAGATAGTACAGAAGTTAAGGTGTTTGCTTACCTCACTTTGATCCCCAGCACCACATATGGTCCCCTGAGCACAGAGTCAGGAGTAAGCCCTGAACATAGCCAGGTAAGTGCCCCCTCAAGCACCCCAAAATAAATAAAATTTCACCATAGCTACTAAAATGCATAATTTTAAAAATTGACATGTAGAGTTTTCTATCCCATTTCTTAATTATGTTCTAGCAGATATCCTGTCTCCTCTCTTCTCTCCTTTCTTCCCCTCCTATTTTCTAGTTCCAGAGTGTCCCTGATAATTGCCACTCAGCACAAAAGAGAAGCAGCACAAGGGAATTATATGAAGCAAAATAAATCAGAAGGGAAAAGACAAGTACTAGCAATATGTTGGAGGATAGAAAATTGGTGAACGGGGCTGGAGCAATAGCACAGCGGGTAGGGCGTTTGCCTTGCACGCGGCCGACCTGAGTTCGATTCTCAGCAACCCATATGGTCCCCTGAGCGCCGCCAGGAGTAATTCCTGAGTGCAGAGCCAGGAATAACCCCTGTGCATCGCTGGGTGTGACCCAAAAAGCAAAAAAAGAAAATTGGTGAACATGTAGAAGGAAAAAAAAAAGATAAACCAATGACCCCGATAATAGAACCAAGGAGGTGACGTGGCAGGGTGAGAATTTGGTTGGTTGTAGTAAATTTTGCATTTTATCAAGATGAGGAAGCCTTCTATTCTTGGTTCCTTGTGAGGTCTTGCATATGAGTGAAGACTGAGGGGTAGAAAGACTGTAAGGCTGAGCAGTGACCTCCCAACAGCACACCTTGTGGATGGGGCCCCCTCTGGATCTATCCCCCAGTCTGGGGGAGCAGGGGACAGTGGTATTAATTTTTAAGTAAAATTTCTTTTCTTTTTTTTAAATTTAATTTTATTTTTATAAAGTAGTTCACAATATTTTATTACATTTGATATTTGAACATCAATTCCATCACCATACACCTTCCCACCACCATATTTTGAATGTTTCCATCCCTAATCCCAACCCCTGCCCCAAAGAAGAATCAAAATAATTTATTTTGTATTGTTTGTTATGAATAAACAGCTGAAAATGCTCCAAACAACTTTCCTTAGAGGAGAGTGTGTGAAGATTGTTGTGTTTCACCCAGGGGCCATTAAGCCCTTCGATAAGAGATTACTAATATGTTTTAATGGTTGAGTGTATATATATATATATATATATATATATATATATATATGTATATATATCTCGAGGTGACAGGGGGCAGTGTTGGCCCAATTCAGCCACTCCAGAATGGCCTAAGGGCTCTGGAAAGCAGCACTTTCTGCCTTGTGAGGATTATTATGCTCACTGTCACTGTCATCCTGTTGTTTATCCATTGCTTTGAGCAGGCCCCAGTAATGTCTCCTTCCTAGCCCTGAGATTTTAAAAAGTGCCACATTCGAGGCTCTTTCAGGGTCAGAAGAATGAGACCCATCATTGTTGCTGGTTTTTGACATATTGAATACGCCACGGGGAGTTTTGCCAGACTCTGCCGTGTGAGCAGGATACTTTTGATAGCCCGCCAGGTTCTCCAGAGTAAGACCTAGAAAATAAGATATTGTGCAGCCATTCGCAGCCATGGTTCCGGAAGCAGGGTTTTATAGCCTCTGGGTCTTGGCTGTTGATAGGATTACATGGCGCCGGGGGCAGTTGGTGGGTGTGACGCCTACATACTGGAAGATGGGGGATCTGGGTGAAGGAGGCTGTTATGCTCATTCTTTCTTTTTTTTCCTCCAAGTGCCCAAAACAAAGATACTGGCCACTGGGGGCGCCTCTCACAACAGAGATATCCTCCAGGTAAGTTGCATCTGCAGCACAGCCACTGCACTGCAGGAAGGGGCACATCCGCCTCTCCCCCTGCCCCCAATCCCTGCATGTGCAGGGCTAGGCTCATCCTGCCCCTGGAAACCAGCACACCAGGGAAGCAGGTAGGTTCCATCTTTCCTGCAGGAAAAGTGCTGTCCTTCCACATTACCCAACTCCTGCCTGCTCACACCCACCCTCTTGTGGTCCCTGTGCATGGAGACATCTTCTCCCTGCCATTTCTCTTATAAGACCAGATTTGTCACTGTTCTGCATCCCCTTCATTAAAAAAAAAAAACCACAACCAGGTCTGACATTCATTAACCAGCAACTGACTGTGTCTCACTGGGGATCCTGAGCATGTTTTGGAAGAAGCCCTGGTTGCCATCACTGTTGGAGTAACTGTTTCAGCTGTTGAACTGTATGATATGCCTGTTATCTCTGGTCAGAGTCTCTCAAAGCAGAACCCTGAAAATGTACTTCTTCCCTCAGTGATTTGTTGAATCTGTTGAAGGGTGTTCTTGGAGAAGGGAGGCAACAGGGCAGTGGAGGAAGAATAAGTTAGGAGGTTATTTGAACTGATGTGGGCTTCAACTCTGCCCCATTGGGGTCCTTGGAATCACAGCATTATCCCATAGACTGGACTCCACCTTGGGGTGAGGGGCCAGCTGACAGCCCTGGGGAGAAGTAAAAATTGTGTGAAGCCTCCGTTTAGTGATACTTTTTTTTTTGGCTTTTTGGGTCACACCTGGCAATGCACAGGGGTTACACCTGGCTTGTGCACTCAGGAATTACTCCTGGCAGTGCTCAGGGGACCATATGGGATGCTGGGAATTGAACCCTGGTTGGCCGTGTGCAAGGCAAACGCCCTACCCGCTGTGCTATCGCTCCCAGCTCTGTAGCTGTGTGCCACTAAAAACCAGTCCCCTGCTTCAGGGAAGGAGGGACTCAGGCCCAGCGGAGGGAGTTCACATGGGTGTCAGTTGATGTGCAGATGTCCTGCTAGGCTCCTGAGTGCAGGCACTCCATCCGACATTCATGAAATTTTTTAAAATTTTGGAGCCCCTAAATAGAGCATTTTCTTTTTATTCCTATAAATATTCTCTTGTTCATTTTGCTTTGTCTAAACTTGTTTTTGTTGGGGATGGGGATGGATGAAACCCAACGGTGCTCAGGGGACAGTGCAAGTGCCAGGATTCAGACCCAGGGCTTTTGTACTCAAGGCATGGTCTTCTGATCTCTGAACTGTCCCCAGCCCTGTTTGGATTTTGTTAGTATTAGTCTGATACTCATCTGTCCCCCACCTTGGCTATTTACCCAACAGCCTCCCTACATCTCCCACCTGGTCTTTGAGGAAACGGTTCAGCAGTGCAGGAAGGAAAGATTGGGTCCTCCCCTCGAGGCATCCCCCAGGTCCTCCTTGCCCCTATCATCACCAGGGTGACCCGGTCAAGTGAACTACCCCCTAAAGCAGTAGAGGCGGAACAGAAGACAAACTAGGAAAGTGAATCTGCAAACGCATCACCAAATGCCCGTGTTAGCCCTGGGGAGCACTCGCTGTCACTACTGACCCTCCTGTGTCCTCCCCAGGTGCTGGCAGATGTGTTTGGCGCCCCCGTGTACGTCATGGACACGGCCAACTCGGCCTGCGTGGGCTCTGCATACCAGGCATTCCACGGTAGGTAGTCAGATGCCTTCTGGAAGGGCTTGGGCATCAGCTGGGCTGAGGAGGGTGCCTGGGAATCTTGTCCTGCCTCTCAGCACTGAGAACCAACTCCAGCCCTTCTGCAGAAAGTGGGAAAGAGGATTGTCACTGAACACCATCTCATCAGCATCTGCTCCCCCTCAAAAGCACAGGGAAATGATAGAGCAGCTGAGGGCATCTGGACATGGATCTGGACCAGTGGTTTCCAGTCCCCAGTCCATGGACCAGTGCTGGTGTTTAGCACTTTGAGAACCACCAGGGAGCTGGGAAAATGCAGCTGCAAGTGCAGGGGCGGGGCTGGAAAGGGGAGTGAAGTCCACAGTCACCTTCTCTGCTGGAGCTGAGAGGGAAGAGCTTCCAGCCCCAGTGGTCCAGGACCCTGGACAGCTCCCTGCGGCCAGGGCTCTCGTGGCGGCCCGACTGAAAACTGCCCTTAGCAAAGGTCTGTCCCTGCCACTAGGGGCGCTGCTACTCGGGTTCAGGTCTGCTTGCAAGGCCCTTTGCCCTGGTCTCCAGCCATTCTGGATGTCTGGTCCCTCTGGACGTTCCATTCTCTGCACTTTTCTGTTTAACTTCTGCTTTGCTATCAGAAGGGTTTATTTTTTTTTTTGAGATGGGGAGCACACCCATAATGCGCAGGGGTTACTCTTGGCTCTGTATTCAGGAATCATTCCTGGTGGTGCTTTGGGATCGGATCCCAGTTGGCCATGTGCAAGGCAACTGCTCTACCCGCTGTACTATCTTTCTGGCCCCCAATAGTTTTATTTTTGATGAAACTTTGCATCTGTTTGCTCTTCCTTGTGAGTTTATTATTTTCACTTTCTGCTCTGAAAACTCCCCACCACCAGACTCTATTTCTTTGTTCACCATTGAAATTTTGGAAACTGTTGTTTGGGATTTTTAAAAACAGTTCTTTCTGGGGGATTTGGCCTTATTTTCTGAAGCCTCCTGTGTCCAGTCTTTGTTTTGCTCTGGGAAAGAACATTCCCTTGGGGTGGGGATGGGGGCGGGTGGCGGAGCAAAAGTACAGAGAGTAAGACATTTGCCTTGCTGGAGGCCAACCCGGGTTCGATCCCCAGCATCCCATATGTTCCCCTGAGAACTGCCAGGAGAAATTCCTGAGTGCAGAGCCAGGAGTAACCCCTGAGCCAGGTGTGACCTAACTTCCTCTCTCCCCTCAAAAAAAAGAATGTTTCCTTGGGGGAGGGTTCAGTTTCTTTTTTTCTTTTTTCTTTTTTTGTTTTTGGTTCACACCCGGCAATGCACGGGGGTTACTCCTGCTCTGCACTCAGGAATTACCCCTGGCAGTGCTTGGGGGACCATATGGGATGCTGGGAATCAAATCCGGGTCATCCGTATGCAAGGTAAACACCCTGCCCACTGTGCTATCGCTCCAGCCCCAAGGGTTCAATTTCAGAGCCCTTTTCTGGCCTGGAGGAGTAGCCCAGGGACTTACAGTGGTTGTCTTACAAGCATGTGGCCATGAGATCAAATTCTTGGTGTCCAATCCTGACATCTCTGCTTGTCTGGGATCCCAGCTTACTAGCTTAACAAAAAGAGGTGGGGGGTGGGGTGGGGAAGGGAAACATATTTACTTTCCCAGGTGGGGGCGGGGGTAGCTCCAAGGGCTGCTGTGGGACCCACCACTGGCCTATATTATGTGTCTTTTTTAAAATTTTCCCCTTCTGGTACCTTTTACCTATCAGAGGTTCTGAGCTGCTGCTCTGCTTTATCCCTGCCCAACCAGAGCCTGAGCTAAGGCCTTGCACATCCCTTTCCAAACTGAGGGGGACACCTCGACCTTGTTTAGACTCTCTTCTCCTTGCCTGTGCCTGGGGACAGATCACACTCAGCGGGGTCATTCTGGGAGGTGGAAGCCATGGGGAGAAGGGGACCTGGTGAGGGAAGCGGGGAGGGCGGCCTGCCTCTGTTGGATATCGGGGTGCGGTGTTCCCTGATAGAACAAGCCCCCCAGACCTGCAGGAGGGAGGCGGTCTGAGCATCCTTCTTCTTTCTCTGTGTCGAGGCACCATGGTGATGATGGAAAAATCGCCCATTCCGAATGTCTGGTTTTACTGTGTTGTATAACTATCCCCATAGTCCACTTTTAGAGCATTTTATCACCCCAGAGAGAAATGCTATTTCCAGCTAAGCCCTTATTTGCCCCAGCACCGATCTAACGAAATGAGCATTTTCCCATCCTTTCTAGGCCTCGCAGCGGGAACCCACGTGCCCTTCTCGGAAGTGGTGAAGTCAGCCCCGAGTCCCAAATTAGCCGTCACCCCAGCCCCAGGGGCCGCTCAGGTGAGAGACCCCCAGCCTCTGTGTCTAGTGTTTGTGCTACGAAAGCCAACTAGGTTCTGTTGGTTTTACTTAAAGCTGAGTTTTCCGTGGTGCTTTAGATTTGGTGTTCCCAACTAAGTCCAAGGCAAATCCTGCTTTTCATTTGTCTGTTTGTTACTGTCAAGGAAATAGAATTAGAAAGAGGGTCAGTCATGTGCAAGGCAAATGCTTTACTGCCTTGCTCACTATATTATCTCTCTGGTGTTCTCCTCCCCAACCCCCTCCCCCCACACCCTTTTTCTTAAATTTGGAGTTTAAAGGAAAAAAAAAATCTTTTACCTAGGGCTGGAGAGATACTCTAGCCGGTAGGGCACTTGCCTTGCACGTCCCAGCTATTTGATTCCAGGGACCCTGTAAGGTCCCTCAAACACTGCCAGGAGTGATTCCTGAGCACAGGAGTAAATCCTGAGCACCCTCTGGTATAGGTCTAAAACAAAACAAAAAGAAAACAAACAAAACATCCCAAAACCTAAAACAAACAAAAAACCCCAAAATGATAACAACAAGCCCCAAAACATTAAACTATAGACTTGAGAACTTGTTAGCATTTCCTCTTTCAAGAATTAATGCTTCTGTTTGCCCTGGAAAATAAAAACAAAAAAGTACAAGTAAATGGAAGACAGAATTTGTTTTTTGAAGCAAAAATAGTTTTATTGAAAGAAATTTACTTAGAGAAATGTGTGTGTGAGTGTGAGAGAGAGAGGCAGAGAGACAGAAAGAGAGAGAGACAGAGAGACAGAGAGAGAGAAAGAGAGAGAGAGAAAGAGATAGACAGACAGACAGACAGACAGACATGGACTCCTCTCCAGAGTAGAGAAAGCATTGGGAGATTATATATAATTTCTCCAAATTGCCCTGGAGTCCTGGGAGACAGAATTTTACTGTCGCAAGCCACACAGAGACCCGAGAGTCACCTTCTCCCCTGCATCTGAGCTGCCTTCTTGGTCCCTCCAGGTGTATGACGCCCTTCTCCCGCGCTACGCCAAGCTGGAGCGGACCATCCTGCCGCAGACGGAAAGGCCTCCCAAGTGAACCCCGCAGACCGCGTGGCCCTGGGTCACAGGGATCCTCTCTCTGTCCCCCGGGCAGCTTTTTCCATCTCCTGTCTGGGAGCCTTGGGACACCGCCTTTTCTCAGCTCCCAGAATCTGACGTGCAGCGGATGCTCCTGGGTTACCCACTCTGACTCCTGGAGACGGGATATAGCTGAGTCAGGATCCTTCCAGTCACACTGGTGACTTTTTCCCTTTCAAATGAAAACACGAAATTTTAACACAGGGCCTCAGTCAGCAGGGCGGAAGAGATGCCTTCCCCTGATGCGGCCCTTCCATCCTCTTCGTGCTCCCTTCTACCCCAGCCTCCTCCATAACTTTCCTCCCTCCTTTCAGCTCTCAAGTGCTTTCTACTCCCATTTCTTTTTCATTCCATTCTGGTTTTCTTGTTTGTTTTGTTTGTTTTTTGCTTTTTGGGTCACACCCGGTGATGCATAGGTGTTACCCCTGGCTCTGCACTCAGGAATTACTCCTGGCAGTGCTGAGGGACCATATGGGATGCCGGGGATAGAACCCGGGTCGTCCGTGTGCAAGGCAAACACCCTACCTGTCATACTATTGCTCGCCGCCCCCCGTTCTGTTTTTTTGAACCATACCAGTTGTGCTCAGGGTCTACTCCCCACTTGGGGCTCAAACTCAGGCCTCCCATGTGCTGCTCTGCACACCAGCCCTTCCCTGCCTACTCCCTGTTTTTTCTCTTATCCCCTCCCACCTTCACTCCACCCCATTCTCATCCCATCTTTCATGCTTCTTTTGGGTATCTGACTCTCCACATGGACCCTTCCTCCCCGTGCCCACCTGGTATAATACCCTTCTCACCCCTTGGGCTGTGCTTCCTGTTTCCTTGCTACATGTAGTGGCACACACAGGCTGTCTTACTCCTGGGTGAACCAGACCATTGGAAGACCCTTCAGCCCCCTAACAGTTGCACTGTGCCACTTTCCATGCAGCTCACACCTATCCTGGTGATGCCCTTAACCTTTTCACTCGTCTATCTCTGTTGTCCTTTTGTTTGGTGGTTTGACCAAACACAGGTGTTTCAGTTTTCGTTTTTGTTTGTGGGTCACACCTAATGATGCTCAGAGGTTACTCCTGGCTCTGCACTCAGGAATTACTCCTGGCAATGCTCAGAGGAACATATGGGATACTGGGGATTGAACCCAGACCAGCCACATGCAAGGCCAACACCCTCCCTGCTGTACTATTGCTCCGGCCCCATGCCCAAGTGTTTTTTTTTTTCTGTTTGTTTTGGGGACCCACACCCAGCAGTGCTGGTCTACTCCTGCTCTCTGCTCAGGTCACTCCCGGTGGTTGCTCAGGGGATCTTGCAGTCAGTGCCAGAGACCAAACAAACCCAGGTTTCAACACATACAGAGCATGTGCTAAGCCCATTTAGTTCTCTTTGTGTGTGTGTGTGTGTGTGTGTGTGTGTGTGTGTGTGTGTGTGTTGGGGCGGGGATTGAGGAGGTAGTCAGGGATTAAACCCAGAACCTTGCACATGCAAGGCAAGCAAATACGAGGTTTTCAATTTCCGTACGCTTGCTATTTTAGCCAGGATGAATCTTTGTCCTAGATGACTATCCAGCCATTGAAGAATGTTTAGAAGTACCATAACCCTTTCCCTAATCCTAAAATGTCAGTATAAATTCTGGGGACCATGTTGGTGCCAGATATTAAACCCAAGCCTTCTGCATGCTAGTTATGTGCCCGGGCAATGGAATCATCGCTCTGTTTCCCCACATTACCTGGTGCCTCCCATATGATCCTTAGGGGGCCTGGGAGGCTACTCCTAGCAATACTCAGCCAACACAGCTGAGACTCAGTGCTAGGACCTGAGGATGTGGTGTTGCTCCAGCCCTGCAGTGTCAGGGACCACCAGGGTCACACCTGGCAAGGCTGGGGCGGTGGGTGGGGGTGAGGGACATGTGGTACCAGGAATTGAACAGGGATCAGAATCATACAAGGCTTTTACTCCAACTCCTATGCCCTCTCCCTAGCCCTGGTATTGTTTTTGTTCTGGGTGTATTTTTTTTTCTTTTTGACCATAGTGGCAGAAATTGAACCCAGGACCTCAGCTGTAAGACATGTGCCCCATGGTTCAGTCATATCCATGACCCAGCCCAATCCTCTCATGTGTGTGTGTGTGTGTGTATGTAATCCTTGTGTGTGTGGGGGGCGGTATTCACACCCAGCTATGCTCAGGAGTTTCTCCTGGCTCTCACTCAGGAATCATTCCTGTCAATGCTTTGGTGCCCATATATGGTGCTGGGAATCGAACCCCAGTCATCTGTGCGCAAGGCATGCACCCTACCTGCTGTACTATCTCTCTCTGATCCCTCCTCTTCTCTTCCTTTTACTGTATGGTTTTGTTTTTGGACCACACCTGGCAGTGCTCAGGGGTTACTACTAGCTCTGCAATCAGGAATCAATCCTGGTGGGTTCGGGGGACCATATGGAATGCCGGGGATCAAACCCGGGTTGACTGCGTGCACAAGTGCCCTACCCACTATACCCAGCCCCCTCCTCTTTCCTTTTTAATAGCCACGTTCTGTGTTTTTCCACCCGTCTCACTGTCCCAATCTTTCATTCTTTCTCCACATCAATTTTTTCTTTTGCTCCATCTGTCTCTACTCCTTCACTGTTGCTGGCTGCCAAGTTCTCTGTCCTCATCTGCCTCTCCATCCTATGCTTCGGTGGTGAATGATTTTATCTATTCCTGGGCCTTAACTACTCCTTCAGTGCCAGCCTCGTCAGACCTTTGTCTCCTGCCCAAACTTGTGTTGAAGCCTTCCTGTATTCTCACAGGGGCACCTCGCTCCCCACTAATCTCACCTCTCCTTGCCAGCCTCCTCCTCAGGTTCCTTTTTTATGGAACTCACAAGCCATTCATTCAAGAACCCTACCTCGGCTCTGATCGATCAGTCACCAGACGATACTGGTTCTTCCTTCACAACTTCTCTTCCTGCCATTACTTTCTCTTCACCCCTCCAGCTACATGCTTGACCCAAATCACTGTGAAAAGTCTCCAGGGAAAGTCATCTGTGACCTGCCTCTTGCATAATCCTCCGAAGTTTTCTTCTGCCACAGACCCTCTGTTACCTGGGACTCCAGTAAAACTAAAGTCCCCTGTTCTCAGCCATCTTGGCGAAAGCTGCCAATGGGTGTGAGGCCTGCGTCATCCAAGTAGCCGGAAGTGAAAGGGAAGGAGTTTGGGAAATGAGCGGGAAAAGCCGGTTCATCTCAGTGAGCCTGAGTCCTCCCTTTGAAAGGCAAGACTGACGGAGGGATGGAATAAGAAGCCAGGAGTTGGAGGGGATGACTCCTCCCAACCGCAGCAGTCCAAGATGCAGAAGGAAATGGACAGGACTTAGGTTTTTTCTTCCCAAGGAGATTTTATATCATGCCCCTCCCCCAGCCCACCCCAAGCCACGGGCTTTCCAGGACCAAAAAATAGGTTAAGCCACTTAAGCCAGTCCTCATCATCACCCCTGCCCCCATAGAGCATCAGGAGTGTGTTCTGGTGTGGCAGACTCCTAAAGCTGCCCCTTTGAAATGGTATTCTTTTACTCTTACCATTCCAGCAGGATCTATGAAGTCTTCTAAATCTGTATTGAACTTTGTACCTTAACAGAAATATACCTGTTACACCTCTCACTCACCAAATCTGACCTCTTATTCTGTCACAAAGAAAGCCCCAATACTTTTTCACAAAAATTGAAATAGTTTCTAATCACATTAAATGAGAAAATCACAATAAAATTTAAAAAAAGGAAACCTAAAACCTGTGTGTGTGTGTGTGTGTGTGTGTGTGTGTGTGTGTGTGGTGTATGTACTTGTGCGTGCCAGGGATTGGACCTAAGTCTTGTGCATGCAAGTTATTCACTTTGCCACTGAGCACATTTCTGGCTCTCAGGATTTAGCAGCATTTGCTGGGGATGGGGAAGCTCCCAAGCAGTGCTCAGAGACTACCTCCAAAGATGCTTTGTCCCACTGTGCTCAGTCATCCTAGCAGCACGCCACTATCCATTCAATGTCTTAGAGAAAGACTTTCTTTGAAAATATCTTGGGGTCAAGGAGAAATATAAAAGTTAAAGAAAAGAAAAAGCAATTGGCAGTGGACCCCGGTAGTAAAGCAATGATATGTGAAGTACTGCTTTAAAAATTCTGTCGTATAAGGCTAGGGAGCATTTGCCTTGCATGTGTGGGGCCCTGGGTGGGGTCCCCCCATGATGCAAAAGAAAAATAAAATACGTAGCATTGATTAAAGCTAAAGGGATGGGGGCTGGAGTGGTAGTACAGCGGGTAGGGTGTTTGCCTTGCAATTCCCAGCATCCCATATGGTACCCTGAGCACCGCCAGGAGTGATTCCTGAGTGCAAAGCCAGGAGTAACCCCTGTGCATCACCGGGTGTGACCCAAAAAGCCAAAAAAAAAAAAGCTAAAGGGATGAAAGTTAAATAGATTAAATGCACAACTTAAAAAAGCCAAGGAAAATAATTGCCAAAGATAGGGGAAGTAATGAGGATGACATCATACATTTAGTCAGGAAAACATAAAAACAATAGAAAAAGTATTTAGTTATTTGATAAAGTCAAAATCCAGTAGTTAATCAAGTGAAAGGGAGAAAGCAAAAATAGACAAAAATAATCTCTAAAGGACTATTTTGCACGACTCTACAACTAAATTTGAAAATCTAAGTGAGATTGGCAATGACCTTGGGAAAATGTTAAAATTTCTCTGGTAGGGGCTGGAAGCCACAGTACAGCAGGTAGTGTGCTTACCTTACGTGTGACTGACCCAGGTTTGATCCGTGGCACCCCATATGGTCTGCTGAACCCCGTAGTAGTGAGCCTGGAGTGCACTGCAGAGTGGCCCCCCACACGCACTCAAAAAAATTTCTCCAGAGGAAGTGGAAACTTTATTTAGTTTTAGGGCCACACCCTGTGATGCTCAGGGATTATTCTGGCTCTGCATGCAGGAATCCTGGCAGGGCTCTGGAGACCATACGGGATGCTTTGGATCAAACCTGGGTCAGTTGAGTGCAAGGCATGCGCCCTACCTGCTGTACTATCACTCAGGGCCCCGAAAGTAGAAACTTTAAACAGATGACCTTTCATAGAGTAGTGAAGATTACAGAGGACTGCCCTAGGAAAGATGGTCAGATGACTTCCCAAGAGAGTCTTTTTCAGAGATCAGTCAATCCCAGTGCTGGAACGGTATTCTAGAACACTGCGAAAGACAAAATACTTGCAGAATATTTTCCAGAAGCAAATATAACATTGACCCCTATGCCAGATTGCAAAAACAGCCCCTCACAAGCTATGCCCACAAGCTTTGCCACGGGGACTGGCTGGGCCCTCCCTCTCTGACTGGGCTCAGTCCAGGGAGTTTGGCCAATCGGATCGTTACGAAATATAGGCCAGCAGGAGCTAGAAAAGTTTGCCTATAATTGGGACTGCTCTAGCTTGGCGCCCTGCCTCCGTCATGAGAATGTTGTGCCTAAACTAGCCTGACCCGACCATCCTGAATCAACCACAGGATCCCTCACCGCTCCAAATGTGAGTCAATTCAAAGGGACTAGAAGTGTCCAGCCAACCCCAGCCTGAAATACCAGCCTGCAGGGGCCAGAGAGATAGTACAAGAGGTCAGGCACTTGCATTGCATGCCACTGTTTCAACTACAACCCTGGTTTGATCCCCAGCACCATATATGGTCCTCTGAGCACATGGGGTATGGCCCAAACTGCTTCCCCACCACACAGACAGACAGACAAACACACACACACGCACAGAGAGAGAGAGAGAGAGAGAGAGAGAGAGAGAGAGAGAGAGAGAGAGAAAGAGAGAAATATCTCTCTGCAGACTCATGTGCTTAAACAAACACCTTCTTTTTTTTGCTTGATTTTATGGGGGGATAGGGTCACACCTGGGAATGCTCAGGAGTTACTTTTGACTCTGTGCTGAAGACAAACTAAGATCCAAGCTGGCATCCCTATGTATAATGCAAGTGCTGTGACTCCTGTGCTCTCTCTGAGATCCCACAAATACCTTGTTTTAAGGCATTGAGATTTAAAATAGGGAGGTAGCACAAAGGTCAAGACATTCGCCTTGTATCCTGTTCACCCCAGTTTGAATCCCTGGCACCCTATATGATCCCCTGAACACTTCCAGGGGGTCACTCACTCTCCAGCGTAGAGCCAAGAATAGCCCCTGCTGGGTGTGTCCCACCGCTTCAACCTAAAATATTTAAAATAACTGATTTCATGGGTAATAAATAATTGATACAGGAATCAGTGCTCAAATCAACAAAATTTTTGACAAAGGAACTAAGAACTGTGTAAAGCAGAAAAAGTAGTGTGTAGATGGTAAGAGGCTGGAAAGAATGTGAAGGAGCTGTTGGAGGAGGCGGAGTTATCTGTGGAAGACAAGATGGGGGACTGGAGTGATGATAGCATTGTACACAGGCATGCAGGAGTCTCATGGTCGATCCCCACATAGTCCTCTGAGCACTGCCCCAAGAGCAAGATCTGAGCACTGTGGCTATGGCCTCCAAACAAAAATTATAGCTACCAAATAGTGTTGTATAGTTTTCTGTCTATTTTCACTAGCTTGATACTGGAGGCTGTCATTGTTACTTCCCAATTCCTTGGTCCAGGCTCTTGATCATGAAGGCGGGGAGACTCCTGGGGAACAGTGGACCTAACTCACATGAGACCTAAATGGCAGAGCATCCTTCCGTATGTTCGGTAGTGGACTCTCTTGTTTTACCCTTTCAGTTCTGTCGGAGAGAAAATGCGGTATTTAATACTCTTGTAGTTCAAAGGAACTGAAAGCCCAAACCAAATTTGCTTCTCAGATTTCATTACCTTTCCTAACCAACATGTTATTTGCTCAGTGGAGTCATGAACAAAATTATGGCAGAGGCAGACGCTAATCCCATGAGCTCAAAGACAGGGGTAAGGATCAGGGGAGCAGTATTCCAGAAGTGCAAATTAGAGCAGTGCTGGGAAGGGAAGGCAGAAGCAGCCTTAATGTTCCCGCAGAACACAAATCAAGTGTATCTGGCCCATGACGGTGGAGCAGGAAATGAAGCGGCACTCACTAAGTCAAGCTATGTTAACCAGGAAACCATGGAGGAGGATTTTAAGCAAGGGAGTGATACACTGAGTTCTATTTTTTTGGGGTGTGGGTGTGGGGGTTATTTGGGACTATACCTGGCTGTGCTCAGGGCTCACTCCTGACTCTGTGCTCAGAACTCACTCCTGGCTCTGTGCTCAGGGATCACTCTTGGTGGTGCCCAGGGAATCCTTTGTGGTGCCAAGGATCAAATCAGGTAGGCCACACGCAAGGCAAGGATAAGTGGTCCTGCACTTATCCCTGGATTGTGATAGGCTCTGTCTTATTAGTGGGGTCCTCCCAGCATGCACCTGCTCTGGTAGTGCCATCGGAAGAGAGGTATCTGAGATGGAGCACAATGGGGTCCTAAGGAGGATCTTGCAAGAACTGGGGGGCAGCTAAGAATCGTTTCCAGGGTGCAGAAGGAGGAGGGGGTGCGGTGCTGGGGATGCTGAGGACCATTTGGGTTAAGGGCGGGGAAACAGCTAGAAACTCTTTTCCACCTGTTGCTGCGCTGTGAAGGGGTGGGGGAGTTCCCGATCCTCCCCTGTCCAGGAGGGCTCAACGCCAAGATCCTCAATGCCTTTGGAATTGGGGACCGCTTATCATTTGAGAGAAATCAGTGCTTCATTACAGATTGTTTTGTTTTTCCCCAGTAGACACGCCTGTGGCACGGGACACTCACTTCACAGGGGGGTGCGCGCAGAGGGAACTTCTGGCCAGAGCACGCCGCTGTCCAGGAGGCGCAGGACAACAGGCACGCGCGTGTGGTGGGTTCCCGCGTGCGAGCGCAAGAGTCCGGGGTGTGGCGACCCCCGCGGCGGGGTGTCCCTCGGGGTCCGATCGCCGCGCCCCTGCCCGCGAGCCCGGGCGGCCCTCCCGCAGCCCCGCGCGTGCCCACTCCCCGGGGGGCGGGGCCTCCGTGTTGTTGTTCCCGGGGCCCCGCCCCTCCGGGGGGCGCGGACCACGCGGCCGGCGGGCCCGCCCCGCCCCCTCCCCTCCCCGCCCCGCTCGCCCGCCTCTTTGTATCCAACATCCGGGTTTCCCCGCTGGCTCGGCTCCGCGGCCGCCGCTCCGGAGCCATTTTGGACTCGGTTCAGCTCCCCTCCCCCCCGCCCCTCCCCCGTTCATGGCCCCTCCGGACTCGGCCGCGACGCCCGGGGCCCGGGCCCTGCCCCGCCGCGCGATGCCTGAGCCGGGCGCGCCCCGGCCCGCGCCCCGCCGCCGCCCCCCGGCCCCCGCGTCGCCCCGGAGCCCGGGCCGCAGCCCGCAGCGCCCGCAGCGGCCCTGAGCCCGGCGCCGCCGCACGCTCCGCGGGAAGGCTCCGGCCGGCCGCGCGCGCGGGGAGCGCCGAGGGACCCCCCGCCCCCTCCCCGCCACGCGACGCCCCCCTCTCCCCCGGCCGGAGCGGGAAGCAGAGCGCAGCCGCCGCCGCCGCCGCCGCCGCCGCCGCCGCCGCCCGGGCCCCTGCGCGTGCCGGGGGGCGCCACGCGGCCCTGCCCGCGGGCTCCGGGTGTCCGCGGGGCGGCGCCGCGGAACATGACGGCGCCCTGGGCGGCCCTCGCCCTCCTCTGGGGATCGCTGTGCGCGGGTAAGGACGGGGCGCGGCTTGGGGGTGCGGGGAGGGCGCGCGGGGCCGGCCTCGGCCGCCGCGCGCTGTTTACCAACAAAGGGCGGGCCCGCGCGCGGCCTCCGCGCCACCTGCCCCCGGCTCGCCGCGATGCCGCGCCCGGCCCGGGAGGTGGGTGGGTGGGTGGGGGACTCGCGGCGGGGACGCGGGGCGCAGGGGCGACCCCGCGGTTGGCGTGTCCCCCAAGGGGTGCGTGGGAGCCGCGGGGAGAGCGCGCGCGGGGACAAGCGGGGCGTGGGGAAGGTGGCCGAGCGCGGCGGACAGAGCCCGGCTCGGGGCTGCGAGACCCTCAAGGCGTCCAGGTCTAGCGGATCGGAGGGAGAGGACTGTTTCCTAGGGCCCGGAGCCCACCCGATCTGAGCGGTGTCCCCCCGTCCCAAGGCGAGGCGGCCCGCGCGCGCGGGTTCCCACCTGCGGCGGGGCCGCTTCGGGTGGATGCGCGCTGCGGCCACCCGGCCCGCTCGGGACCGCTTTGTTTGGTGCACCTGAAAGCAGAGGTGGAGCGAGAAGAAAACCCCAGCGGGTCTACGTTCTTGTGGCTCCCACCCTCATCCCCCCCGGGAGACATGTGGCCGGGGTGTGTGTGTGTGTCTGGGGTGACCCTTGAGAGCAGCGCTGGACGCGCGTGCATGTGGCCGAGGATCGTGGGTTCGGCCGCGAAAGCTCCTTTGCCCCCAGCCCAAGAATCCGATTTCCATCCAAAGAGGGGGCAGTGCCGGGGAGGGCGTGCGTGCGCGCGTGTGTGTGTGTGTGTGTGTGTGTGTTGGGGAGGGGGGTGTCGCCTGCTCGCGTGTGTGTGTGTGTGTGTTGGGGAGGGGGGTGTCGCCTGCTCGGGTGTGTGCCCCGGGATTCGGTGAGGACTCGCGCGGCCGAGCTCCGCGGAGCTGCGGGCTGCCGTGCGCGCCGGGTCAGGCTCGTCTTTGTTCCCAGCCCCCATTACACATGCAGCGCGCGGGTCCCCCCGCTGCCCGCGGTGGCCGCAGCGCCGACTCTGGGAAACCCGCGGAGGGCGGGGTGGGGCGTGCAGGGGCGGGGCCGGGATCCCCGAGCCGCCGCGGGGGTGGGGAGCGGGGAATCACCCTCTCGTCCCGATCCTCGGTTCACCCGCCTCCTTGGCGGCAGCAGCGGAGTTTGGCTTCTCCGTCTACGCCGTGTGCAAGCCGGTTCTCTCCGGGTTTGGAGCCGCCTTAGTCAGCGCGGGCCGGGACCTCGGGGCAGACCCGCTTCTTCCTCGGCTTTGATCCGAGGGTCCCGGGGCATCTGGTGGAAGGGGGCGTCCAGACGCAATTGTAGGCATTAGAGGTGAAACTGGTCTTGTTGGAGTCAAAGTTCCTTTCTCTGCCTCCCTGCTTTTCTGTTTTGCATTGGAATAAATGCGCCCCCCCCCCACTCAGAATGGGAGTTACAAAGTGAACGGAAGGCCACGCAAGAGAATGATCTTAATCAGCAGATGTGCTACAACCCCCCTGCCTGTCCTTCTGTGAACCCAAGGAGCCTGAGTTCACAACTCAGGCCTGCAGAGACCTTTTCCCAGCTGGTCTGCCTCAGACTTGTGCTCTAGAGACCCTCTGCCCCAAATGGCTCCCACTAGTAGCCACTAGAGGGGTGTGTCTGGCCTTTGGGCACTGTGTGCTGGGGTTAGGCTGCATGGGGTTGTCCCAGCCAGTGCCCTGGTGGCCTTTTCCTTGCCAGCCAGGAGCCAGTGAGAAGCTGGGCCTCCAATGACTTTCACCCCGTGGATGCTTTTTATCCCAGCTCCTGGTTTGCCAATAACCGTTATCCCCGCCTCCCAAACCTCCCTACCCCACACTCTATGCTGTGTTTTATTTGGAAGGGGCTGGGTATGGGGGCCACACTGGCAGAGCACTTGCGGACTGCTCTTGGCAGGGCTGGGCGACCAGGCAGTGCCAGAGGTCGAATAGGGATACGCCACATGCAAGGCTAGTGCCTTAACGCTATACATCTCTGACCCCTTTGTCCTGTGTGTGGTCTAGAATCCCAGAATCTGGGTATCCCAGAAGGGCTCCTCACAGAATCGAGGACCAGCTGTCCTGCAGCAGTGTTTATGGGTGCCCCCCCAGTGCTATTCAGGGGACTGTATGATGGGGTCTTGAACCAGGCTTGGCCACATAGGAGGCCACATGGCCCGTAACCCCTGTACTCTCTTCCCTCTGTCAATTCTTTATGGTGAATTCCTGATTGCACATTCTCATTCTACTCTCAAGGGCCACAAGCCTCGGCTATGCAGGGCCTTCTCCTTGCTCCCTGGCCACTGACCCTGACTGCCCTGCTGCCACCACTGTGTGTGGTCCCACCAGTGGCTGTTCATGTCTCTTTCAGAAGGAAAACTTGGAGTGTCTGGGAACTTGGGTAATGGACTTGGGGTGACCAAGGGACCTCAGGTTAGATTGAAGATACATTGTCAGATACTGGCCTGTACCAAGGACAGGTATTTGGGGACTGAGGGGGAACTGGGCTGAACAGCCCCTTTGGTGGGGAGGGTGTCTAGGTCCTCCCCTTGCAGTGACTCGGGAGCCCACACAATGCTGAAAATTAGACCTGGGGGCCCTGCACCTGCCGGGGTGCACTCCAGCCCTTGGAGCTGTCTCCCTGGCTCCTGGGTGGTAGTAATTCTGAGAACTAGATTGGATAGTCCGGCCTCAGGGTAGTGGCGGGGTGGGAATTATTCTAGAGTAGGGTTTCTCACCCATGACATGATGGACAGTTTGGACCCCTCCCAGTTGCGTGCCTGTGTGCCCATACACATTCCTTTGGTGGGGGGGTAAGGGGGAGAGCTGTCTAGTGCTTTCTAGGAAGTTGAGCAGAATCCCTGGCCTCTGACTAGCATTATTACCGCTAACTGTGGCATCTGAGAGTGTCCCAGACATTTCTGGGTGTCCGGGACAGACAGCGCTGCAAAACCTCCAAAGGATGATAATGTCTGATAATGCCTTCATGGTTCACGGTTTTGGGGCTACACCTGTCTGTGCTCAGGGGATCCCGGCAGTGTGTCAGGGGACAATCCCCGTCTCCCGCCTGCAAAGCATCTGTTCTCTTTCTCCCGCTCGTTCATGGTTTTTCCAGAGGTTCCCTCCCTGCCCATCAGCACTGCTGGCATGGACTGCTTTGGGTGCTGCTTGGCTTGCCAGCGTGGCAGTAGGACCTGAGGGGTCGGTATACTCTGACATGTGCTGCGTTGCTTGGGACCACCAGGGCTCTTGCTTGTGGTGGTGCTGGGGGCCTTGCAGTGCCGGGATGGGACTGGGGCCTCACTCAGGTTCAGTGTGTGGTGCTCCGCCACGAGTCCCCGTGGCCACATATTCTCTTGCCCGAGGGACAGTGTGCTGGGTGGGATTTGTGGTTGACGCTGCAGGTCCCCCCCTGCCCCCCGGAGATGGGGGGTGGGGGACAACGATGGGGTTCTGCGCAGCGCCTAGGCCATTCCTGCTTCTCCAGAGCCGAAAGTTTGGTTTGAAATGCATGGTTTGTCTGTGCTCTGCTGGCCGCAGAGGAGAATCCTGGCGTCCTTGAGTTTCCCCAGAGGGGTTCGGGTTTCAGGAGGCAGCAGTTGTGGGTGGCCGGGCAGCCTGCCTGCCCTCCCCCGCCCACCCGCCGCCTTGAGGTCTGCCCGCCTGCACTCGGGGTGTGGGCCCTGCCACCCGTGCCACCCGCACAGAATGTCAGTAAGGGCCGGTTGCAGGGGCACCTGGGAGCTGCTGCAGCCCCGGCTCTGGGCCTCCCCAGCGGCCTCGGCCTGAGCAGCTCCGAAGTCTGGGTCGCGGCAGGACACGGCATGCCCATGCCCTCGAATGGGGCAGCCTTGTGGCAGCCCGAGGAGCCGCAGCAGCAGCTGTGGGCCTGGAACTCCGAGCCCAGGGCTGCCAGGGCCGCGGGCCGGCCTCTCCCTAAAGGTAGGAAGGAGCCCAGGGCTCTGCCTGTCCTCAGGGAACTAACTGATGGGCAGGGCCAGGCTTCTCCTGGGGACTGGGGAGTACTTAGGGCAGAACCGCGGGCTCCTGGTGCCAGGCCTGGAGGCCCTGGAAAAGGAATGAACTTTCTGGGCATCTGCTCGCAGGACTGAGTGGCCAGCTGCTCGGGTCAGTGTGCTGTGCCCCCCTGCTCTACTCCAGGCTCTGTGGGGGTTATAGCGGGGGTGTGGGGCTTTGGAGTTGGGGACTTCTCACTCCTTTTGACCTCAGAGGGACCCAGCTTGCTGCACTGAGTCCACTGTGAGTTGTGGGTTTCTCGGTGGGAGGAAGCAGCCTGGAAGTTCTGGCTCGCAGGAACTCTGTTACTGGTGTCTGAAGGACTTGATTTCAGGCCGGACTCGCCAACGCCAAGGCTGCCTAGTTCATTGGGGTTTCTCGGGTCCTTTCAAAAGGGGCTTTATTTCCTTCCAAGAATTCCTTATCTTCATGCCCTCTGCTCCCTGTTTGTCGCTACTACTTTCTTCCAAAACACACCCTGTCCTTCTGGTTTGGGACTTGTTGTTATGGTTGGTCTTTCTCCACCAGACTCCTGGGCTGGGCCCTGGAAAGGGCCCGTTCCTTCAGGTGTAGGCAGGTCTGGCCTGGAAACCCAGGTTGCTGGGTGAGGAGATCCAGCTGGAGCCCAGGCTTCGCCCTGGTTCCTCTAGCCACGCTGCATCCAGGCACATGCCTTTCACAGACTCTTCTCCGTGGGTCTCTGAGCCCCGGGAGTGGTTGTGGGCCACAGGGCCACAGACAGGCCATTGTGTGGCCACTGGCAGGCCTGGGAGGGACTTCTCTCTCCGGCGTGTCGGGGCTGTGCTGAGGTGTTTTGGGAGGCGTGCTCCCACTCTTGTTTGCAAACGTTCCCTCTGCTGACTATTTCAGTGCTGCTCTGACAAGGCAGGCGGCTAAAATTAGTCCTGGGGAAGGAAAGGGAAGGCTGGTTGGAAACCCAAGCCTTGGCCGGGGACTGGAGGCCGTGCCCGGGGT